TGATTAGGGAAATGGAGGATTTTTTTCCCTTCGAGCCCATACATTAATTGTTTCTTTGATTGGTTCCCCATGTCATTCAGATATCAGGTTAGTCTTCTGAGATGGCCTTCCCATACTGTCCCTCTGACGTTTCTACCACTCTTATCATATCCTGTTTTTCATTTTCTACATGGCAGTTTTTTTGATCTGATATTTTTTCTTACTTTATGTATATTGGTTGTCCTTTCTCCTTCCCTGCCGCTTCTCTAGAAAATACATAACCAAGCCCTTTATCTTGCTTACATTTCTGGCATCCCAAATAGTACCTGAATATAGTAGACTTTCAAGAAATACTGGTTTAAGACAAAAACATAAGAAGTCTCATCATTCTCTTGGCATAAGCCTCATTTTCACTCCTTGAAAGCAGGAGTCATTACCCACATCTCCCTGTTGACTAAGCAAGGTATAGGCCTGCTGACTAGGCCTTCCTCTTTGACTTTCATTGATCCTCTGAAACTCAGCTGAGCTATGCATTTAGCTTCCTGTATATGAGCTATGTACCAGCCCAGCCTCTGATATAGGTTAGAGTATTCTGTCCTACAACATCCTCCTTCCTGCGGTCAGAAGACTCTTTAATTTTGTTTCCTTGCTTTTCTCTTGAGAAGAGTTTTTCTATATCATTTTTATATTCTTTTATGACTGAGGGAACTTGAGTAGAGCCTCCCTCTCTGTCTTCCTTACCATTATTTTTACTCATTACAGCTTCCCATGTTGGGAAAGCATATTCTATAACACTCCCTCCTTCTGAGGATCCCAGCGAGAAGTGGGAAATATGAGTTCTTTCTGCCCTCTAATCCTTACACATATTCTGGAAGCAGGGGGTGATTCTTTTCCATTCTAGACTCTCATATTTGACTCTTCAGTGAAAACGCTTTTTAAAAATTGTTCAAGTACTGTTGTTTTATCTTGAATTTCTTCTCTACCTCTCTTTCATCCCATAAAGGCAAGAGTCAGTTCTTCATATTTTTCTTTTTCTTTTCATTTGTATTATCTCTGCATTTATGCCATTGGAAAAAATGGTAAGTTATTTTTTAAAGAAAAAAAAAAATTAGTATCTGTGCTTGTAACCTCACTCTTTCAAAGGCATAGCAATTGTTTCTAGCGTGTATTTTAGTTTATGTGTATAACCTTGAGTATTTTGGACTTTATTAGCACTTTAGATCTGTTGTCTTACCATACATACAAAATATTTGTAATCCTAACGTAAGCAGAAGTTTCTTCACATCATGGGTTCTCATCTTACATAAATATGCCTATTTTGTATTTCAGAATGTTCCCAAAAATTGCTTTCTCAAGCAAAAGGGAAAGTTTATTGCATCCTTATTTGCCCACTATTTGTTCCTATGACTAAGTCAAAAACCCTGAGTCAGCACCATCTCATCACTAGGTGGCACTTGCGTATCACAGTTAGTCAAGCACACCTAGCACAGTTTTTGAGACAGTGCATGATCCACAAATATACGTAGTGGTTGGCATCCCTGCATGGTTTTTCCTCACAGTAGGAAAGTGAAGCAGTTGCTTTGATGTATTTGAAGAATATACTAGATTAGCTTATAATCATTATTTCATAGTAATACTAATAGGTTGGCTGGTCTCCATCCATACCTTCTTAGCCAAAAATTACCATAAAGTTGAAATTTGTTTTAGGACCTGTTTGCTATTCATCATGGTTTATTGTAAGAGAAGTGAGTAGTAAGTACTTCTTATCAGATTCAATCCAAACTCCAGGCACATGCTGTGCTTTTGTAATGTTTAAAGAAATGCCTAGGGCCTCCCTGGTGGCGCAGAGGTGGAGCGCTGGGTTAGGAAGCTGCCCGCAGCCTCTGCAGCGCTGGTTCAATCTTCGACTGCTCCCCGGCCACCACCGGAGGAGGGTCCCACATGGCTCACAGATCTCTCCTGCCGCCCACTGCTCCTCTCCTGCCCGCTGCTCCCCTCAGCAATGTACTTCAGTCCTTCTGCCTGCTCTGCTCCCCTCTCTGGCTCTGGTGAATTCTCTCACCCTCCCGTGCTTCTGACTGTACCCAGTGCTTGTATAAAAAATAAATAAATAAATAAATATTTTTTAAAAAAAGAAAAAATGAAATTTTAAAAAAATAAAGAAAGAAAGAAATGCCTGATTTTGACTTATGAACCCTTATAGCTATTCAATGAAAAAAATGTAAGCATTTGCCTGGTCAAAGACAGTAATTTGCCTAGTTATAATAGCTACATAGTTAGACAGACTCTATATTCACTCAAGTCCTTTGAGTTCCAGAGCCTCCGTGCACTCTTTCCATTCTGCTGGTGCTGGAGTTAGCCCGTACCTCGTTCATGATGAAACAACTGGATGATAAATGCAAATGTGATGTTGGTTCCTTTCTCTTTTTATGAGAGTGGTGGAGGAGAGTTATAATTTAAACAGTAGGACAACCCTGGGCACCCATAACTAGGAAGGATAAGAGGAAAAGTCACTAAAAGAAAGACCAACTACCAGAGATGTTCACCTGTTTCTGCCTGGAAGCAACTCAGCCTCCTCTGAGCCAGTAACATACAGACTCTGAATATACAGTGTGTTGGTCATTACATACTCTAGCCCTTAAATCCTGGCTTCTCTGAATACCTATTATGTGATCTTGGGCAAGTTGCAACCTTGTGATTTGGTTTACTTACGTGTGAAATGGAGGAAGATTAAATCTGTTAATGCATGAAAAACACACACTAATGCCTGGCACATGGTAAGCATTCTACTAATGCTAACCATTTGGGTGGCTTAATACCTCGAGCCACTTAAGAAATGTTAATACTGCTTTGCATAATGTGCGAAGTAGAATTTGAGCTGTGTCTACTTCTAAGTGGTCATCCCTCCCAGTTTATGTATGACCAAGACTCTCCTCATTCTGGAGAGTCTTGATAAGATGATAAATTATTTGAGCACCCTGGCTAGCTATAACCAATTTAATATAAAAGAGTTGTGCACCCAGGAATTTGTTTATGTAAAGTTTGTTAAAATGGAGACTTCTCCTCCAAGGGAAGATGTAACTGCAACTGTCTGATACATGAAAGGCTTTATATTTATACAAAAGAGAATCCCTAACATTGTGGTGGTATACTGCCTGACATCAAACTGCCCCCCACGACTAGCCTTGAGCAAGTCAGTTTACTTTAAAACTAGGTGAGGATGGTATTATACCTGTCTCCTAGGTTGTATAAGTAAGATATGTAAAGCATTTAGCTCAGTGCCTACTACATAGCAAACATAATATACATAATAAAACTGTATAGATGGTAGAGTTTTTTTTCCTGCAGGGAAAAACATTGACGCAAAGTGCTTACAGCCATTGGAAGTTGAAAGATTGGAGTAGATGACTATAAGGTCCTTTTCAATGATAAAATCTAGTGATTGTATTTTTTTTTTTTTTTTTAATATACTGCTGAGGGGAGCAGCAGGCGAGACAGGAGAGGTCTGTTGTGCCATGTGGGACCCTCAACGGTGGCCGGGGATGGAACCAGCGCTGCTGATGCCGCGGGCAGCCTCGCAGCCCAGCGCTCAACCGCTGCGCCACCAGGGGATGCCCTCTAGTGATTGTATTTTAACAAGCATCAAAAGCTATTCTTTGTTTTTGTTTTGTTTTTATGATAAATTTCAAGCATTTACAAAGTAGAGAAAAAGCCTGAGAATGCAATAAAACCAGGAGGTACCTATCACTTAGCTTCAATAATAACATGTGACCAGTCTTTATAACTTTTTAAACATAATTTTAATGAGATATATTTTACATATCCTAAAATTCGCCCATCTGAAGTATACAGTGGTCTTTAAAAATTTACCTAGGAGCCTCCCTGGTGGCACAGGGGTTAAGTCTCAGCTATCTGCAGCCACTGCAGCACAATTTCAATCCCCAGCCAGGAGCTAACCCACATGGCGCAGCAGATCTCTCCTGTCTCACCCGCTGCTCCCCTCAGCATTGTATTTCAGTAGATCCACCTATTCTGCTCCCCACTCTGTTTCTGGTGAATCCACTCACCACCCCCACCCCACCTCTCGCCTACACACCAGCTCTTGTATGTATAAATAAATAAAAAATAAATCTTTTAAAAAAAATTTACCTAGTTGTACATCTATCACTAAAAACCAATTTCTAAACACCATTTTGGTAGGCTCCCTCCTACCCATTTACAGTTAATTCCAGTTTCTACTCTCAGTTCCAGGTTACCAGTTACTTATTTTTCTATCTCTATAGGTTTGTTTTTTCTGGGTATTTAATATAAACAGAATCAAACATAATGTGATATCTGTGTCTGGCTTTTTTCACTTAGATAGTGTGGGGGGTTACCCATGTTACAGCATGTGTCAGTAGTTTGTTTCTTTCTCCTGATGAGTAATATTCCATTGTATAGGTAATAGCATGTTTAGTCTATCCTTCACAATGACCAGTCTGTCATCTTTATTTTTACCCTTTCCCCTCCCCTCCCTACCCTTAGTAAATTACAGACATACCTCATTTTTATTGCACTTAACTGATACTGTGTTTTTTACAAATTGAAGTTTTGTGGCAACCCTGCACCAAGCAAGTCTACCAGTACCTCTTATCCAACAGCTTGTACTCACTTTCACAAACAGGATAGCTTACAGCATTTATTAGATGTTCCTGCTTTTTATTTTTGTTTTTCCAAACCATTTTTTGTCTTCTCGTTCATCTTGCTTGTTTCAATCTTTTTTCTGCCTCCAAGACTCATTTTGTTGTCTTTGAATTTACTTGAAAAAGAAGCGATATCTAGATAGAAACATTCAAAAATAGAGAAAAGTATATTTCATTATCTCTCAATTTTAATGAAAACTCTAAACTTGCTCAGTGGCAACTCCGGATAGTGATGATTTCTAAAATTTTAATAAAAGACTTTGATTGACTTCCTTGTTACATGTTGGTCTGGATCTACTTGTTCCTGATTTTTGTGTTTTTGTTTTTGTTTTAATTCAGGTAGTTGGAAGAGGGGCCTTTGGAGTTGTTTGCAAAGCTAAATGGAGAGCAAAAGATGTTGCTATTAAACAAATAGAAAGTGAATCTGAGAGGAAAGCTTTCATTGTAGAGGTAAGTTCATATGTCATTTATGTTGTGTAGTTCTTCATCTAAGATATTCTGAATTTAATATTATGGGAAAAAAACATTTCTTAAAATTGTCATTTCTCAGGCCTCCTTGGGATCCTAGGGTTAAGTCTTAGTGCTATCACTGCTACTGCCTGAGCTTGATCTCGGGCCCTGAAGCTAACCCACATATGGCCGTAGCAGACATCTCCTGTCCTGCCCACTGCTTCCCTTAGCAGTGTATTTCAGTCAATACACCTGTTCTGCTCCCCTCTCTGTCTCTGGTGCATCCTGTTACCCCTCTCTCCCCCCGTACCTCTGGCCCACACCTTAGTTCTTCTATGCAAAAATTTAAAAAAAAAAATTTTTTTTTTTAAATTGTCACTTCTCTATAGTTGAGCATCAGCGATTTGGTTGAAACAAAGGTAATGCTCTAGAACATTTTTTCATTCATACTTTTAATTCTGATTAAAAATTAGGGTAAAATGAATTCATCTGTGAATTAAAATACTGTTTCATTCATAGTAATTCAGATCTATTTCAAGGCATAGAATTTAAATTTTAAAATAGAAAAGAAGTAGTATTATCTCCCATTATCTAAAATTAAGAAGGGAAGTTTTAAGCTTTCATATTTAACTGAATATTTTTAGAAATTTAAACGAGATGATTTCAAAGGAAAATAACTTCAGATTTGGTTTTTCTCATTTAGCATGGAAATTTTGAACTCTGTTCTCTTACAGATTGTGGAGAATTTAATGAAATTGTATTTTCAGATTTATTTCTAATTTTCTAGACTTAATGCTTTTTTTGTATATGTCTTCTGAATTTACATCTATGTTTTTACTTAATCTTAATTTCAGAATGTATTTCATATTTTAAAATGCATGACATGGAGAAATGAAAATTGAGTTGTGATATGATGAAGTAGATTTTTGTAATTACTTGAATGAGTTTAGAATTACTCATGAATGGTTTGATGTCCCAGAAGTCTAACCTTAACCTTATTTTTTTATTCATGATTTTTGTTTATATTTTATATGACATTATTGATCTGTTGTATTGGCAATTTCATAAAACGAAGTAAAAGTATTGTGTCAACTACCAGGAATCAAGAGTTAAAAAGATAATAGTAGTTTGGAGGGAGAAAATTAAGGTTATACATATACTTAACAAGATGAAATATAGACTATATGTAATAAATAGTGATATTAATTTCTCTGTTAGGGCCACAAATATTAACAATATTAACTATAGAGAGATAGGCTTTCTAATAGCATATAATAACAAGTTTTAGGTGTAGCACAAAGGAAATGAGTGCAGCCAAAACCTTTACTGGCCTCACTATGAATCACTGGATCAGGAAAGATTAAAACTAGTTGTAGAGAGACCAGCTAGGAGACCACAGTAATTGCCACACTAGATTAGATTAGAATTATGTAGTGGCAGTGAGAGTGGATAGGAAGAAATTAATTCAGAGATGAGAGATGGTGCAGCAGAAATATGTAGAAAGAATGCATATTTTTAGTCAGATAGAGCAAAGTTCAGATCCTGACTGTACTACTTTCTAGCAATAGTGTACTTAGCAGCTCATTTCTCTTTCTCTGAACCTTATCTTAAAGGTCCCACATCTTGAAAGTAGAAATGATAATACTTAACCTTGCAGAGTTGTGAGAGTTATACAGTATCTTAAAGTGCCCACTAGGGCCTGGCTTAGTGTAGATAGACTGTTCAACTGTAACTATAAAGATGCTGATGACTGCAGTGACATGGTTTCCTTCTAGCTTAGAAAGCTCAGCTCAGTGCCATCTCTAGAATGGTGTCCTAACATTTTTGGCAAAGTTAATTTCTTCTTATTTGTCTTATCATGCCTTGTTCATAACTCCTGTAATAGCACTTTGCTTATTGTTTTAATTATTTGTTTACACATCTATCCCACAACTAAACTACAAAAACTTTGGGGCAGGGATTCTGGGCTGTTCTGGGGAGATACTTATGACCACAGTGCCTGCTACATAGTAAATAGTTATTGTTGAATGATCAAATTAATGATTTGTACAACCAGAGATTTTAATAATGATGTGAAATCATTTCCTTAAAAGTTAACGCATTTTAAAAGAGACCTTAATTTGTTACAGCTTCGGCAGTTATCCCGTGTGAACCATCCTAACATTGTAAAGCTATATGGAGCCTGCTTGAATCCAGTAAGTTTGCCACTTTTTCATTGTCCCCAGTCTATAAGGAATAACAAGGCAGATGTGTGGTTTATAAAGTATTTTGATCTGTTATCATATTTCTGAATAAAAACCATTGTACTTTATATATTTAATTTCTTTCTACTCTTAGCAACATATTATATTGTCTTAGGTGGTCTTTTCTAGTAACCTCATTTTTTTATAAAACTTTTTGATCACTCTCACTTCCTATGGCAATATGTACTCATTAGCACTAAAGAAAGCCCCCAGAGAATTTGTGATCATGTTTTTATATGTGTCTCCACTCCAAGAGGAGTTACTCTTAGATAGTGGATTGCTGGATGACAAGGTTGTAGATCATAGATACCTTTTTTTTTCCTTTAGTGCCATTCACATAGTGGGGACCAAAAGAATGATTTTTAAAGCATTTATAAAATCAAAGGATGAACAAATTCTTTTCCAAATCCCTTAAGATGTTATCGCTCTGTGATTAATTATTCTGTCATATGTTTCTTTTAGGTGTGTCTTGTGATGGAATATGCTGAAGGGGGCTCTTTATATAATGGTGAGTGTCATTAGACCTGTCGTTAGCTAGTAGAGTAAAATAATTAAAAAGCTTTTAACTATAAACTATAAGTTACTTAATGTTCCTCACTCTATATCCTCAGAGTCCCAAAAGGAGGTAATTAAAGAAAGAAATCAGCTTAAGATTAAAAATGATAAGATGCTATAACATTTATATGTAAAATTTAGAAGTCTAAGTATATCAATCTTTTAAATTGATGTACTTTTCATAACGTTAAAAGCATATAGCTAAAGTAAAATTTGCTTTTTTAAATATATTTTTAAATATCTTCAGACTGTTTTTTTTAATTTTGCCCACTCTTAGCTTTGAACCTCCTCGTTTCAAAACTCTTTAATCATACTTCCATTTCACTTACTTTATTTGCTTTCTTTTTAAGAAATTGTGAAAACTCACTCCATGAAATATTTTATTATAGCAATGAAAGAAAGTCATGTAACATTTAGTTACCTTTATAGAACAGAACTCTTTCACCAACCATTTGTGTATTCTTTTGTTGTACCAGTTCATTTACTGCCTAATTGTTCATCATTGCTAGTGGTACCTAAAACTCTTGTTTTAGGTTTTAGCTGTTATTGAGAACCTAATTATAAACACACATTATTTTGTTTCCTTGTTTACTGTTTCTCAGTATTTTTCTTACAATGGTTTGCCATGACATTACTTATAATTTATATTGTAATGTGCAAAACTGTTTTGATTGAAAATTTGTATCAATATACGTTCATTTTACATGAATGAATGTAACATTTCATACTACTATTAAATGTTAAGTACATATGTGGTAGCTTTCTATTTAAAATTATTAAATATTTTCATCTTTTTATTTAGAAAAGAATTAAAAGTAGAATTGATAGGAGCATATGTAGACAAATACCCAGTCATGTGTTCTGATGTGTTGCATTCACCTTGTATCTTTTTTTATATGCAATAAAGTTCTTTTTAGTTTGTGCCTTTCTTTTGCAGTGCTGCATGGTGCTGAACCATTGCCACATTACACTGCTGCCCACGCAATGAGTTGGTGTTTACAGTGTTCCCAAGGAGTGGCTTATCTTCACAGTATGCAGCCCAAAGCTCTAATTCACAGAGATCTGAAACCACCAAAGTGAGTTCTAATAATGTGACATGTCTCTCTCTTGCTGCCCCACACCAGCTCCCTAATTCAGTTCGATTGTTGCACATGAGTTTCTTGTTTCCTTTCAGCTTACTCATGAGTGTTTATTTTTACTCATCTGTATCATTTAGTCATTATCTAAGTTTCCAGATTAGAATGTTGTCATTAGTGAGATTTTTATTTTAATTACATTTTGTTTTAATAACGCCTACCTCATATTAGCATATTTCTAGAATCTATTAGCCTATAAATCTTATTTTGTGCCTGCACTATCTATTATTTGCCCTAGGCAGTTGGCTCCATGACAGCAGAGAAAAGCCTGTATTGTTCCCTGCTGTGTCTTTAACAACTCACAATATCCACACATAGTAGAAATTCTCCAAGAGTTTAGAGTGGTTATTATTTGTTCTTTCAGAAGAAGGCAAAGGGTATGTCTGGCTTCTGGGTAAAAATTGAAAATATTCTGAATATCTCCATATTGAGATTCTAGGGCCTTTGAAAGAATTTCAGAATTCCCTCAATAATGACTAAATATTTGTGTTTTGTTTTTATAGATATTCATTTAAAACATACGCAAACACATACACATATGTGGTGTGTGTCCCCTTTCTAATTTTTTTTCTTCTTTGTCCACCTGTGACAGAGTAAAAAGTCCCCATATGCTCTCTCCTCTTCCTCTCTCCCCTGCCCCCATATCAGTCTTTAGCTATTCCATTCTCTTGATACTGATTTAAAGCAGTCAAGTATCCCTTTTGGATATAACTTGTCACTCTTGGCTAACCTGATACATTCTCCATAGGTTTCAGCTCTTGGAATCTCTGTTCTCACTAGTGTATCTTATTTCTACTCCCAGATTTAAGCTAACTTCTTGCCCCAGGTCCCTGGTCAAATAGTGTTTAAGACACAGATTCTTAACACTTTGATTATATTGTCTAACCTTTCTATCTTGAGTGGTGAAGAAATTATTTAGCCTTTTATTCTGGTTTTGGAGAGTGAGTCTTCCTTTTCCCCTGTGTATTACCACAGTTAAATTATCAGAGCAAACTCATGAAAATCATAGCTCTTATACCACAACAAATTAATGATTAAAGGATGCAGGCAAGCATCATGCACAATCAAAGCAACTCCTGAAAGTGTCCCTTTTCTTTTACATTAAGATGTATATACAGGGATGGAAAAAAGAAATTTTTATGGGGCAGACTTGAAAGTGAAGTAATGACTTCCCAGACACTTTTCATTTGGCTAGGCAGTTATATCTGAGTGCACAAAGGCTATGAAATGTATAATACTGTTGTGTGCACAGAGTGGGAGGAAGTAGAGATAGTGACCAGCTAACTAGCCTAGCAATTATAACATTAGGCCAAACTAAAGACTCATTTCTGTTCACTATAAGGTTGTGAAGAGGCTTGCAAACTTTTAAAGCAGTTTCCACAGTAAGAAATACTTCACAATCTAGTGTGCATATATGTACATTTTTGTGTATAGAACTGAAAGGAAACTTTTATGCAACAAAATTTTATCTTACTAGTTATGATATACTTTAATGTATTCTATTTCATTAATTGCTGTCATAATCTGCTAAATTGATTTCTGGAGGTTTCTACATCTGTGATCTTAATTTTATGATAATGATTTTATTGACAGCTTGAAAAGCATTGGTAGATTAAATACAGGGGACAAGTAGTCTATAAAGGAATTGATTTCTATCCCCTGTCATTTCAGGATACTCTAATGTTGACCACCTGGAAATTTTTTAAACCCATTTTTTATTTTAGCACAAAGAGAAGTATAACCAGGAAAGATTGTAAAATAGAGAGGGCAACATCAAATGTAGGTCTAGCAGTTTCCTTAAGGGAGATAATAGGTGGTTAGTTTTTTTGTTTTTTGTTTTTTTGTTTTTGCACATTTTTCTCTGAACTATTTAGCTATCACAGTGACCAGGTAACATTTCACAGAAATTGAATGGTAACATTTTGTTTAACCCTGTTTCCTTGAATGTCCTTTATGACAGAATGTCTTTTATTGTAGAGCCAAATACTGGTCCTCTAATCTTTGTTTTTTGTTTTTTTTTTTTTAACAGCTTGCTGCTTGTCGCAGGAGGGACAGTTTTAAAAATCTGTGATTTTGGTACAGCCTGTGACATTCAGACACACATGACCAATAACAAGGGGAGTGCTGCTTGGATGGCACCTGAAGTTTTTGAAGGTAAATGGCAAAAGCATGATGTGATTAATCATTGGCCTTACTCTATGTAAATCTAGTATGAGTTTTTAGCTTTGCTTTATTTGCATGAGTTTTATTTCTGCATAGTACATAATTGGAAGATAGATACTAAAGTTTAAGGAGTATTAAATAAATGCAGGCTTAGATCTAAAACTCATAGAAGATTTAAATTGGCTAGCATCTTCTGTGCAAATTTAAGGATATATAGTCAGTCTTCATTATTCTTAGATTCCATAATTGCAATGATCTATTTGTGACCCAAAATCAATTCTTGGTGCTTTTATAATTATTGGTAATCATTTATGAAGTCATCTCTCATACTGCCATGCCTTTATTGCCACATTTCTTATACTTTTGTGGTTTTTGTTGGTGATTTCACTATTTATTCATTTGACTTCCAAGAGTTGTGTTAAAGTACTCTCTAGAAAGTTACAATTGTCTTATGGAGAAAATACCTGACTTAGATAATCTTCATTTATATATGTGTTATAGTGAGTTCAGTGTTGGTAAATCAGTGATATGTATTAAATACATATTACTTTCTGTGAGTTAAAGTGACATAGTACTTCAATAGTTTGGAAAAAAATACTTGTTTATATAAAAGAACCCAGAAATAAAATTTACTGTTAATTGTTTATAGCAACAAAGCTCAGATATTTAGGCTATGTAAATTTCTTTGTTATTGATATGTCAGTACCTGTAGCCCAAATTAGATTTTAAAGCTACATCGGAGCACTGCTAAGTGTACACTGATTGTACATTTAAGCTTATAAGTTAAGAATTTTCTCACCAGATGTTGAAAAAAAAATCTTAACTCAAAAAGCTTTCTTTTGCTTTTTCAGTAGAGTAGTACTATCCAAAGAATGAGAGGAAATAAATTAACATTAGAAAATTACATAAAAGGAGTATAAATGGGCTGATCTTATCCTAAGACTGCTCCCCTGTGTCTAGATACCTCTTAATGGCAGGTATCTCTTTAATTCTGCCCCTGTCAAAAGACCACTTCTTGCCCCTTAAGAGCTGCCCATTTGTGCCTGTGCAAATGTTCCTTTTTTCCTTTTAAAGTTTCCTTAACAGAGCTGCCCTTTTGTTTACAATAAAGTTCATTTCTATCTTAAAATAAATAAAAAAGAATGTACAAATATATTCATATTCTGTCCCTGGAAAGTAAGTCTAAACAAAACTTTTGTCTCTTGAAGAGTTAAAGAACAGTCCACTTCTAGAATTGTTTAATGCATTAAAAACCACATAAAATTATATTTGTTCCAGAGACTTAAATTATTTTAGAAATATCTCAACTCTACATGGGACAGCCTCTTGTTTTTGTACCATAGTCATTCTTACAGATAGCAGTTGTTTCTATAAGTCACATAGGAAAAAAGTCTTGAAATTGTGCTCTTTTTTTCTAGGTAGCAATTACAGTGAAAAATGTGATGTCTTCAGCTGGGGTATCATCCTTTGGGAAGTGATAACACGTCGGAAACCATTTGATGAGATTGGTGGCCCAGCTTTCCGTATCATGTGGGCTGTTCATAATGGTTAGTGAAAAGAAATTTTTCTTTAATATATTAAGGTGATTTACCACCACCACCACCACCATCACCAAGGAGCCCATTTATTCCCTAATATTAAAATGTACACATCTCTGTTACAAGAATACTTAGCTCCTATCAGCTTCCACTCCCCCACCACCAAAATCAGGAGGTTCAGGGCTGATTATGATCCTTCCTGACCTCCACATGAACCTGGGGAGATCTGCTAGCCATGTTGATTAGTAGATCACCAGAGCCATCTACCTAGTTAGGGTCTCTCCAGGAAATAAAGAAGCATCAGACTGGGCTCTGTGAAGAAAATAAAAAATTTAAATATATAGACTCTTCACAATGTTAAGAAAATTAGAGAATTGTTGCCTTTTTCTCCTGAGGAAGCAAGGGTCTCACCAAGGAGATAAAGCAAAGAATAGTAACAATTGTTATTTAAGCTTTTCATAAAGGCAAAACTAAAGTATTTCACACAGGCATTCTTTTTATCTTCTTACTCATCCTTATGAGATGAGCATTATTATTGCCTCACCTTAGAATCTTAGAAATTACACCTGGAGAGGTTAAGTAACTTGTGCAATGTTGCAGTGTTTGTAAGTGATGAAGAAGGGATTCAAATCCTTGATCTTTCTGACTTCAATAACTATATTTTTTAAAAAGATTTATTTATTTATGCATACAATAGCTGGGGTACAGGCCAGAGATGCAGGGTTGGGGGGATGAGAGGATGCACCAGAGACAGAGTGGGGAGCAGAACAGGCAGGCTGACTGAAATACACTGCTGAGGGGAGAAGCGGGAGAGACAGGAAATGTCTGCTGCGCCATGTGGGTAGCTCCCTGGCCAGTCTGGGCTCGAACTCGTGCTGCAGAGGCTGCGGATTGCCTCTTAGTGTGGTGCTTAACCCATTGCGCCACCTGGGAGGACCCCAATAACCATATTTTTAAGTTATATTAATTTACATATTCAGTGTCTTTGTATCTCTCCTGTGCCTTTATATCTCTGTGCCTTTATGTTTCTAACCACACATGATATTAGGATACATCATCTTCATTAGTCAAGTTATGTCAGTTTTCTTTAAGAAAATGAACTGTTTACCTTCCTAACTTTCAAAATCACTCTCTGTTATTTAACTTCTTTCACTTGATTATAATCATTCTGATTCATGGCATTTTGATGCATTGTTGCACAAATAATATAAAAAGTATGTGCCTGACTATTTCGGTCATTCATAGACTTCTTAAACAGCACTATCATCTGAATATTCTTAACTGGTAAAACTTTTATAATACTTTCTTTAATATCATTAGATAGAATGCTAGAGCAGTGATCAAGACAGTTCTTCTATATCTATCAGTTGTCAGTAAATAATTGAATATCATTGAAGTAAGGAATAAAAGAACTAACTTACAAAGATCTCATTATTTTTGAGGCCTTTTTTAAATTAGGGACTTTACTATTAATATTACAATCTCAGTAATTATACACAAGTTAGCTGTTCTCCGCTTGTGAATGATTTATTCACAGGAGCCAAAATATCTGCCTCTCATTTGGAGGGCCGTAAGTAAAATACCATAGTGGACCACCCTTTAAATATGGAAAATGATGTTTCAAACTTACTTGAAATTTTTTAAAGAATCTGAAGTATAGAGTTCAAGGAAGATTTCCTCAAATCACCATTTTATTTTTCTTCATTAAAAACCACACTTAGCCAGTATTGTTAAAAAAGAATGCTTATAAGAAATGAGATGTCATTAATTCAGTCTTGTTACCGTAATGTATATAAAATTGTAATTTAGCTTTTTAAAAAGCATAGCTTCCCCTTTATGAAAAGATACATAGAATAGATATTAACCTAAAAAGACAAAAAAAGTGATAAAAGATAAAAGACAAAAACTTTTATCATTACTCCCAAAAGATCTTAAATTACACCATCTGTAAAATAAATACTGCTTTGGAGATACATTTAAAAAATTACATCATTCTTTTCCCCCTCTAATTTTTAATTATAGGTACTCGACCACCACTCATCAAAAATTTACCTAAGCCCATTGAAAGTCTGATGACTCGTTGCTGGTCTAAAGATCCTTCTCAGCGCCCTTCAATGGAGGAAATTGTGAAAATAATGACTCACTTGATGCGGGTATAATCCTTCATTTGAGGGGTTTTGGGTTTAAAGGAACTTGATAAAGATTTTTAATTAGGTTTTCACTTAAAGGGGACATTATTGCTATTTTCTGCTTTATATTTTTCTGTATTTTCTAAGTTAGGATGGGTGTTTATTACTCATATAATCAGAGGAGGAAACTCGATTTTGAAAAGTCTTGTCCTTTATAGTAGAAAAAAATGGCCAGATAAGGTTTCTGGATTTGCATTTTCCTCCTGCTTAACTTAGTGGACAGTTGTATTTGTTTTTGGGCTTGTTGCCTCATCTCCAGTGTGAGAGAAGCTAAATTAGATGAACTCTGTTTTATAGAACTTAGATATTTTATGACTCTAAAATTTACTAAACTGAATCATAATTTTTCTTTAGTACAGATCTTCATCAAGCAGTCATTTATGCAGGACAATAGAGAAGTTGTAGTCTCAGACACCTTTATTTAAGTGATTTTTACCTTTTTCATTTTTCTTGCATATTTTCAGCTTTTTATTTGCCATTTAAAAGTTAAACTTATAGGATTAATGGAATTTTTGAGTTTAAAAGACCCTTTTTAAATTATCAAAATTTCATAGTCTCTAAGTCACTTTTAGAATGATTTGATAAATTTTAGGACTCTTATTTTTCTATTATAGCGACAAAATGTTTCAAGTAATACTTTGATTTTAAGAAGTCTGTGTACTAGTGAAATTTCCTGAGTTTTAGAACAATTTTCCTACTGGAAAATATTTTTAGTCTCCTTAAATAGAGAATAAATGACTTCCCAAATAGCCAAAGATTTAGATTATTCATACTGACAACAATTTAGCAAGCTAGCTTGAACTAATCTGATTAAGGTTCACCATTGTATTTGGGCACCAGTTATATAAAGAATCTTAGAGCATAAATGTATGTTCATAAGAAAACTTAATCTTGGTAGTCTATTATACATGAGATGTATAAATTGTTAAAACCATAATCGTGTGTATATGTGCTTGGTCTAAGAACACCATTTTTTCCCCTAAATTCTAATTTGTCCAGCAAATATTTCCAATATTACATCTTAATTCACTGACCATCCATAAATTATCTTGGCATTTAAGGTAGTAGTTCTAACAATTCTATGGTATCCCAGTCTCAGTTGTGAGACAGTCATTCCAACAATTTACACGTTAATATCACTGCTGTGGAAAACATAAATATATTTCCTATAATTATGAGGAATGATACTATTTTATTTCCTATGTTCCTCTAGGGAAATATTTGCTGTTTTCTTCATGACTATCTAGGTTCTGTGTGAAATAGACACTTAAGTAGATACATGGCACTGAACACAGTTGAAATTCAAAAGATTGCACTCTTGTCATCTTAGTGAAAAAAATTAGGTATTTACAAATTTAGTATACCTTAGGGAAAATAAAGCAGCCTCTTTGCTACATTCAAATTCTGCAACAAGGAAATAGTTCAAATACACTCCCTAAAATTAGTTTAGAAGGATTTCATTTGTGTTAAAGAAATTTTAAATTGTGATTTACTTTTTTATATATAGTACTTTCCAGGAGCAGATGAGCCATTACACTACCCTTATCAGTATTCAGATGAAGGACAGAGCAACTCTGCCACCAGTACAGGTAAGTGGATAGTTTGGAAAACTGATAGCCTGATTTTTTTTTTTGTCTCTATTCCCATGAAATTATAATCAAGAAGCAATGAATGATGTCCTCATTTACATTTTAATTTCATATTGATTGACTACAATTTGAGTTTCCAGGTGCGTCATTTGTCATGAAGGTATCCAGATTAAAGAGCTACTGAGGACAGATTTCCAAGTCTTGGAATTTTTGCGTAGTTATAGATTTTAAAATTGGATATTTTAAGAGTGAATGTCATTCTTTATTTAAAAAATAGTTTTTATGTAGATACTGCTGAAAAAGCACAAGAAATTGTAAGTAGGTATAACCACATGATTCTCATCATGAATAGCCTACATTTTAGTTTTTCTACAGAGAATCCTATTTAAGAAAGTGTGTTTTGATTTAAACTTCTTCAATTTCTAATATATGAAGTAGTAGTGGTATCCATAAATTGTGGTCATCAAAAAAGAAAGCAGAAATAATTCCCTAATTTAGAAAAAGTAATTTTCAAAATATATGGCATTTTAAGCATTTCATTAAGAAGTAAATGTTATATAGGCAGACATACACATATTTATCCCATATTTAAATTTTATTTTTCCTAGCCTATTACCCCCACATTAAAAATAATTTTTTTTTTTTTTTAATTTTCTAGAGGCATGTCTTATTTATTTATTTATTATTTGTTTGTTTGTTTGGTTTATACATGCACTGGGTACAGTCAGAAGCGCGGGAGGGTGAGAGAATTCACCAGAGCCAGAGCGGGGAGCAGAGCAGGCAGAAGGACCGCAGGACACTGCTGAGGGGAGCAGCGGGCGGCAGGAGAGGTCTGCGCGCCATGTGGGACCCTCCTCTGGTGGCCGGGGAGCAGCCGGGGATTGAACCGGCTGCAGAGGTTGCAGGCAGCTTCGCAACCCAGCGCTCAACCGCTGCGCCACCGGGGAGGCCCTAAAAATAATTTTTTAAGCTGATACTACTTAGCAAGATAGTTCCAATTTTACTGAAATTTTTTTGAGTTGCTCTGAATTCTAAAGTGAACTTCTCTAAAATTCCATTATTTACTTCAACTGCTAAACCCTCTCCTTGTTGCCTCATCCTTCCATCTTCTCACTGACCCTAACTTCTGTACGGTCCTCCTTCCTTCCTCCTTCCACTTTGCCACCATTTCTTCCCTTTGTTTCTGTGTCATCAGTTTCAACCTTTCTACTGCGATCATTCCCAGAGTGTATATAACTGTATTTGTGTTCTCTAGCTTCTAGCTTCCATTCCATTCACTCTCATTATACTACTACTCCAGAATTGCTCTTGTCAAGCTCACCAGTTATCTCCATATTACTGAATCTGAATGAATGGTATTCAGTTCTTATTTGTTTTGACTCTCAGCATTTGACACAATTAATTCATTACTCTGTCCTTCTTAAGCACTTTTTTGAGTTGGTCTTCAGGAAACCATACTAGTCTGAGTTTCATCTCATGTCTCTGGAAACTGTTTCAGTGGTTTCCTTTGATGGTTTTTCATCCTCACTCCAGCCTCTAAATATAAGAGTGCCTGGAACTCAAAATCGTTTGGCCTCTTCACTTACCTACACTCAATGCTTGGTAATCTTATCCAATGTAGTGGCATTTTATACCATCAATTTGCTGAGGTTATGCTCTATCCCAGAGCTAACTTCCATACTCATATATCCAACCTCAGTAGTGTCCCCACTTATCTGGGATTATATATCCCTGGACTCCCCAGTGGATACAGATAGTACTAAACCATATATATAGTATGTTTTTCTTGTACATTCATACCAAACATAAGAGTTGCAAATTAGGCACAGTAAGGGATTAGTAACATTAATTAGTGAAGTAGAGCAATTATAATAATATACTACAGTATATGCAAGTTATATAAATATAGCCTTTTTCAAAAAATTTTATTGTACATAATACTTTCAACTGTGGTTGATTGTATGTAACTGAAACTGCAAGTAAGGGAAGATTATTATACCTGCTTGATTGCTAGGAGGAACTCAAATCTATTTTCCAAACTGAACTCCTGGTGTACCCTTCATGCTCACTCCTCTGGTCTTTCCTACATAGCCTCTCCATTCTACTCACTCAAAGAACCTTAAAGTCATCTTTGACTATTAGAAGACTATTTAGGCATTTTAGTTCCTTTTTTGTGCTCTGCTAAAATTTCATTTAAAATTGGTTGATTTTGGTGTTCTTATTAACTAGAAAAATCTGATTTTATATCTAAAAATCTTATTCTACTTTAAAAAAGAATTTAAGTTGCATATTATTGAATGAAGCATTTATGTTATTTCCAGCCTATTGTCAAATATTTCTGTTTTCCTAGGCTCGTTCATGGACATCGCTTCTACAAATACCAGTAACAAAAGTGACACTAATATGGAGCAAGTTCCTGCCACAAATGATACTATTAAACGCTTGGAATCAAAATTGTTGAAAAATCAGGCAAAGCAGCAGGTTTGTTTTGTTATTAAGAAAGAATCGTATGGTACCTTACCAGTAGACATAATATACTAACTGAAAGTGATTGTTATCTTGCATTATATAAATCTTAAATCTTGTTCCTGAAGCAGACAGATGAACTTAAAAATAGGAGACACAGAGTGAGATTATCCTACCATTTATTGCCAAATTATTTTCTGTTCTAATGATTGTTACCTTTGCCAATTCCTTGATTCCCTCCCTATGATGATTCCTAACTTTAATGGTTGATAATTAAAATGTAAAATGAATATTTTTTACTTAAAGGACTTGTCCTAAATCTGTAATTTCATGTTGTTTAATTTATTATATTTCTTATTATTATATTTCTTATTATTTAAAAATATTTAAAATATTTTCAGGATTTTATTCATCTAACCTGAGGCATTTAGATTAACTAATAATTGGGGCACTTAACTTCTGGTTCCAGTGAATGCCCTTTCCTAATGGCCAGTATCTGCAGCTTTCTCCCTCTTACCCTGCAGCTTCCTTTGCCCTCTTCTTTTAGAGCAGAGCAAAATCTTTTAAGAATCCCATTTAGTGTTTTCCTCCTTCTAGGCTGCTGAGGATTTTTAATCTAAAGTGCTTCAGTAATTCAAATTAACCTGTAATTTTAACAGAGTGAATCTGGACGTTTAAGCTTGGGAGCTTCCCGTGGGAGCAGCATAGAGAGCTTGCCCCCAACCTCCGAGGGCAAAAGAATGAGTGCTGACATGTCTGAAATAGAAGCCAGGATTGCTGCAACCACAGGTAAAAAGGAACTAAAAGGGTAAGAAGGAGGGGAATGGTAGTGACAGTTTTTCAGGAGTAGGAATGTCACGGGTTTGTTTCTCAATTTTTTTAAAGAAGGTAGTAGACTTAAAATATACTTTTTAAGCTTCTAGCAGTAATTTATACATCTCAAATTCCAAGTAAGGAAGGTATGACTTATAAAATTATTCGTTTCATAAAATATGCCTTCCTAATTATAGACTTTATCAAATGTAATTCTTTCAGCTCAGGCTTGAGCTGCAAATCTAATTGAGAAATTGAAATTTGGCAAAACCAGAATGTTTTGGAGGATTTTGGGTGATTCTACTAGAACCTTGGCTGAACTCAAATGATAGCAATTATTTTGTTTTGAAGTTAACAAAAAAGTACACTCCAGATCTAAATATGAATTGGCCTTACTGTCTATTCCTCCTTCTAGTGGCAAAAGTAGCTAAATTTGCTGTGGCTAATTCATTTAATTGTAAAATAAAAGATCATGGTCATTTTATTCAATCTTGGAAAAGCTGGCATTTAAATTCCATTTTGTCAGTTCTTGAATGATTAATTATGGAAGAACTGATCAGTACAAAAGCCATTACATGAGCTTGTTACATGAGGAAACTGACAGTCTCTTTTTCTAACCAGGTTTGATTTTAGTAATGCTGGTTTAATTTGTTCTCTTTCTGACTGCCCCAGAGGTGGAGGGGAGCTGATTATAAAACTAAGTATGTTTCTATGTGGAAAAGGTGGGAATGTAAACAACCAAACAAAAAAAATCTTCCATAATTGTCCAATTCAGAGATAAACACTTAACATTTTTGTGTATTTACCTTTAGTCTTTTAACTATATATGTGTATACATGTGTATTTGCATATGTATTTTTTTAACTTAGCTAACCAAGTCTTTTAGGGTTTATTTTTGGTTGTTTTTGGTTTTGGTTTTGGGTCATTTTTTTCCTAAGTAGAATATTTTCATTTTGTATGGAGCTTTTTTCAGAGGGAACTATCCAGAGGACTTTATACTATACTTGTCTTTAATTAATCATGATCACTGATTTTTATCAGTTAGCATTAGAATCAGTTAGATATGGCAGAATATCAAAATAGCCTTGTGTATAGCACATAAACTTATTCACATGTAAACAAATTTGGAGGTATGCTCCATGATGATTAAGCAGTTGAACTCCTTTTACTTGGTGTCACAATCCCTGTTATATAGCTTTTATCCTCAAGGTTACTTGTGCTCCAAAATGACTCTTAGAGTTCTGATTGTCATATCCACTATCTAGGCAGCCGGAAGGAAAAATTAGAGGAAGCACAAAAAGGCATATGCCCAAGTTCTTTCAAGGAAAGCTCTTCCCCAGAATTCCCTCCTGAGAACGCCCACATAAATGTCTTTGGCCATAGTATGATGGTCAGATTGTGGTTCTGGGACAGAAAAATCCTGCAGTCTCTAATGTGGGAACCTTGCTGTCCTAAGTCAGAACCCTGTTGTTATGAAGGAAGAAAAGACTAGATCTGACTGGGGACTAGCAGTCTTCTGCCACACAGGTGCATCTTTAGAAATTAAAGAGTTAAATGAAGGTCACCAGCCACTGACAAATTTTCTGGTGTCCATGAGTCACAAGTGTTTCTGTTGAGTGAGGACTTTTTAGTCTAGTGTCTAATGAGCTATGTATACAGGAACATCCCCTCACACTTTGGGGAACCTTTTCCACTTCGGGGATATTATTGAAAATAGTTCTGCCAAATACTAACTGTTCCCCTAAAACAGAAAAGTATTATTATAATTTTATATCTTTGCTAATACAGCTTGCTAGTAAAGGACTGACTACTACTTTATGGAAGTGGTTATTTCCAAAATTAAAGATAACCACATACATATCAATTCCACTATCATTTTTCTACCTAAGTATATTACAGACGCTGTTGAGCATCCCCTGAATTTTACATGATTCAGATTTTTAGTACACTTAGTGAACTCAAATTTTTAGTTTACTTTGAAAGGTCCTTGTACTCCATCTGTTCAATACTATTTATGTTGAATGGAACTGTACCCTAAACTTTGGAAGCTACAGTTAATAGTCTATTAGAAGTAGGTATAAATATTTATAAAAACATAGACATTTCGTACTTTGATTCAGTAATTATTTAATCACTGAACTTCAATTTATAGCACACTTCAAGGAACAAGTAACTTGAACATATATATTCATATGTTTGTGTAATTAAAAGGTATATGGCAACTTATTTCTTGTTAACGCCTTTCTTCCTTCCCACTGTCGTCCGACCCATCCTCATCGCCTATCAGTGGTTTCATTTAGGTAGATTTTCTATAAACATGTTTGAAATTTAGCTTCTTCATTACCCTGCAGCTTTGTGTGTCTTTGTCCAATTTTTTTTTCTGCTAATTAAAGCCAGTATGTGAAACATCTATATTGGTAGTTGTTTGCTCCTTAATCATGCCTCTTCTAAGCATGGATGAAAAGTTAGAGATAGTTCTGCATGTCATCCTGCATGAAGTGTTATTAACATAACTATTTGAATATTATTCTGTTTTTGTAGTTAATCGTTTTCTGTGTTCCTATTTGTGGTTGTTTGCATGTATTCTGTATATATGTATTTTTGCAGCCTATTCCAAGCCTAAACGGGGTCACCGTAAAACCGCTTCATTTGGCAACATTCTGGATGTCCCTGAGATCGTCATATCAGGTATCATAGACCACCTGAGTTGGTCTAATAGCTGTGGAACCGGAATAATGATCCCTGGTACTTATAAAATGCTTCTTGCTCCAATTTTTGTAGGACATGAAAATAGATACCTTGCATGCAGTAAGTAGGGAGACATATTGAAAACTATACATTTGTCTACACTGAAGCGGGTTTGACATGATGCCTCCAATCTCCAATGGTGAGAGTATAATAGAAGGCAGTGTAAACCTTTTCACAGAAGGAAGAATACCAGCCCAGAATTCTACCAACTTCCTCTCATCTTTTAAATGAGTAGGTGAGCTGAACGCAGACTTTTTTTCCAACCAGCAGAAAGAGGAAACAATTTAAAAATATTTGTTATCCTTGGCTCCTTTCCTTCTTTTGTTACTACTTTTGTGGGCTTCTTCTAGGCTTTCTATCCCAACCTCTTTCTGTTGGTAGCAAGTGAAATAGGAAATTGAGAAAACAGTTGCTAAATACCGTTTTGTCTTAACCTCTAAAACAGAAACAAAATAAAACTAAATGAGATGTGCTGTCTTGCAGGGTATCTTGCCACAGAATCATGGTCAATTCTGATTCTTGTGTAATATCAGCAGAGTTTTTTTTGCAAATTGCAATTTTTATACCTAATTCACACATGGTACTTAATTGTTTCAACCTGGTAAATTGCTTTTATTTCATATAGTGATCATTTCACAGATGAATATAAATCACCATTTTTGAATAAAAGGTGAATATGACATCTGGGATTAGAGATATATCATTATCAAAATGATTGTATATTTACCCCTCTTCTTTAGATTTCCCCCAACCTTTTCCTAAAGAAATTTGATATGAAAAATACACTTTTTTTAGTTTATTTATAGGTGAAGTACTTTTTTCTTCTTACATCATTGTTAATTTTTGGACATTATTTGACTTCTCCTCTTGGAAACGTAGTAGACATTATTTGACGTCTCCTCTCGGGTGTAGTCCCCATAGTTCTCCCACCACCATAGCACCCGTGATCCATCACCATAGTTTTTCCTACACCCATTCATGGGTGTGATTTGATTCAGTTCTTTAGCACTGTGTACTCAGCCAGTGATTGTGATTTTAGCATAGTACTCTATTGTAGTTGAATACCTAGTTGTTCTTTTCTCCTCTAGTAAACTGAAAATTCTGAAGGTGGTGACCATAGTTTTCTTATTTATTACCAGTTGTTATCAGCAGTGTCTGACTAAATGCTTCACATAATAGTGTTTAATAAATGCTTTTTAAATCAATGAACAACCCATTATTGAACTCCAGTAACTCAGAAGTAGGACACAAATATATAAATTATGCAATTCTTAGGGACCATTATTTTAGCTATACAAACTCAATTTATTTTGCAGTCATTTTTATTATGTTAGCAAAGTAGTTCATAACATTGTTACAGTGGCTGTTCAGAGAATAGAGTTAGCCCAGCTCTCACATAGTAATTTCATTTATTGAGCTGTGGGCTGCTTTTGAAGTTAATAAAGGATTTAGTATTATTTTACTTCTGTGCTGAAAGATATTATGTTCAAAGGAATAATACCCTTATTGGGGAAGTGGTAATATTTAACGTATATACTGCTGAGCGTGATTATCTTAAATATTTGAAGGAATCAAGAAAATTTAAGCAAATGACAGTATATTCTTTTTTGTTTTTTTTTAATTGCAGTGACATTATATAAGTTTCAGTTGTGCGACAGTGAAAATCATGTGTATATAGTAAATTAAATTCCACTAAAATCCAGTTTTATCTAAACTTCACCATATCAATGTCCCTTTTGTCCCAGTTTACCCAAAGTAGTATAATCAATCCTGGTCTAATAAGTGAGCATTGAGAACAAACATGCACAAGTGCATATATACACATAGCATCTGCATACACACAGAAGGTATATAGCCAGTACAGGATAATGAGGGAGAGAAAAGGACAGTCTTCATGGTTCTGAACCAGGGTCACAATTTGTGCCCCTGGAGACATTTGGAAACTTGGTTGTCATAACTGGCAGGTGCTACTACTATATAATAGGCATAAGCCAGGGTGCTGCTAACTCTCCTAAAATGTACCACAATCAAGAATTACCCAGCACAAAATGTTAACAGCATCAAGCGAGAAGCCCTGGTTAGGTGCTCTTTGTGGGCTGTAAGTAGTTTAAAAATGCATCATCTTTATTGAGCTTCCTAATAATTTTATAATTAGGTTATCAAATAAAATTATAGCCATTCTACAGATGAAGAATTTAGATCTGATATTGAATGGTTTTCCCAGAGTCACACAGCAAGACACCCAGCCTGGATCTTAGACTGACTCAAATCACATCCATTTTGTACAGTTCAGTTTGAGTCAGGGATGATAGAGTAATTCTGCCATATTTCTCTTCAGTGTCCCAGTTAGGAGAACATTTCTGCCAGGAGACCTCTTTTACAACATTAAAACATATGAAATCAGGAAACCTTAATTCTGTCCTTAAATGACAGAACAATAAATACTGTACAAAATACTGTACTGTATTGGAAATAGTATTGACATACATTTAATTAACCATTTTTGGCTTTTTCCCAGATATCAAAACATTAATCAATTTCACTTTCTTTTAAAAGAATGCAAGCACTGGAAGTGAAACAGTTGGACATAAAAACTGAATATGTGTTCCTAGATCATATTTTTGAAATAAATATTTCTAAGAATATCTCAGATGTCTTGAGCCACTTTAATTATAAAGGATGGTATTTAATTCCACAAATTTCTTAACACCCTCTAGAATTTTTTTCCTCAAAATAGACTTCCCACAAGCTCTGTGTTATTACAGATACTTATTAATACTGTTTTGGTACTAATTAGCATCAGTTTTCACTTGTAAGTGATTTTTTTACACATAGCTTTACTTTCAGTAAAGTAGTTTCAGTAATACTCTCCTTTGGCTACTTGCAGGGTACTGGGCCTGACGTACTTCTTGGAAATGAACTGCCTCTTTTAATAAAAGCATTCCTTTAATCATCACAAAAATTTTATTTTTTTTAAAGATTTGTTTATTTATGCATACAAGAGCTGGGGTACAGGCCAGAGATGCAGAGGGTGAGAGGATTCACCAGAGACAGAGTGGGGAACAGAACAGGCAGATTGACCGAAGTACACTGTTGAGGGGAGCAGCAGGTACAACAGGAGAGGTCTGCTGCGCCATGTGGGTTGCTCCCTGGCCAGCCAGGGATCGAACTCGTGCTGCAGTGGCTGCGGATTGCCCATAGTGCGGTGCTTAACCCCTTGCGCCACCAGAGAGGCCCATGACAAAAATTTTATATGTACAGATGTATCTTTTCTAAATTTTGTTGCTTCATGCATCTTTTAAAAAACATACCAAGTTTGAAAAATTTTAAATACAGACACTATTACTATAAAATTACTGTAAAGAATTTTTTTAAATACATCTAGTCTTTTTTAAATACATCTAGTCTTAGGTAGACAAATTCAAATCTTGTTTTATGTTTGCTCTGAATTCAACATTATGATTTACTATGCCATCATTCAAATAAGAAAGAGCTAGCAACCTATGACTAACAATATTCATCCATTATATGAATTGAGTCAAGCAAAAAAGGACCTTTAACACCTCAGGCCTTCCCGTAGATCAAACTGTACAATTTCTTACATCTCTTCTACATTTACCCTGGCTCTGAAGAATTATTGGCACATTTTGGTGTGGGCAACCCTCTTGTCTACGTTCCCTGTTCACTTGCTCTTAAAGAGTGAGCTAGCTGTAGATCAATCTGGCTCCTTATTACCAGATAAGATATATATCTATTTATATATATATATATATATGTGTGTGTGTGTGTATTTTAGTTTCTTGCCCATGATTTAAGCAATTTGACCCAAGATTTTGTTAATCTTTTTTTATTGAAAATTATAAGGCAGTAAGTGAACTTTGAGGAAAGTAGGCTTTTTTTATATTTTTTTATAAAAATTGATGTTTTAAAAGCTCAGTCTTACTTTATCTCCTTTCTTCCCAGTCATTTTAAATTATGTTGTTTAAGAAAAAAGAATTGGTGGCAGATTATTGGATTGCTTTTAAGTTATTCTCATTTTGTCCCTCTAATGCTTTAGTAAGAACATAGATCTTTTTTTATTTGGTTCTTTCATGATGGGTTTTCTTGACTTTCCTGTGTTTAATTTTTATTATCCAAGATTTCAGTGGTCTGTTTTTCCACCATCTTTAGTTCAGATATTCAAATATAATAGTAATTATGAATTGTGGCACTATATAATGCATTCTACAATAACCTGTTATAGAAGAATGCCTAACTTTTGCTTTTCCTTAAAAAATTTAAATGTCAAAGATGAACAGGTAAAAGGCCCAAAAGTTACAGAATAGGAACAATAGCCATAAAACATAGAGTAAGGGACTGAGTAGGTAAGATGCAAATTTTCTTCATTACTGTAGCATAGGTTATCAAGAAAGATCAGCAGTCCTATTCTGGGACTCCTTGAATGAGTAGTTACAGCACTTAAGAAAATCAACTGTGATTATAATGCATTTTGAAATCCACTGGGAATAAAGTACTGTAATATACATACCACCTGTAGGAGATTTAATTGAAACATTAGTCTTCTGAATTCCTCCTTTTCTAATATAAAATTGCTTGTACATAATTTATACCAGATTATCACTGTAAAAATGAAATAAACTTCCAAAATGTGATTTACAAAAGCAACTTTTTCCAAATACTGATATTATGACTATTGTAATTATAAATTTTATTTTTAAAAATAGGCTAAATTGGAAAGTTTTATAGAATATTTATATTTGGCTTTATTGATATAATCAGTACTTCTACATTTTTAAATTCAGACCAAATCATAATGCTTAAGTTCATTTTAAACACTTGAAAATTCAATCATCTGTTCTGTAGATGAGCACTGCCTTAATGTGCTTCTATTTGAGAACTTTATTAGTGGTGCTTCAGTATGCCTTTTGTTACTTCTAAGCCTAAAATAATATGACATAACATTTTGAAGTGCTAGAATGCTGTAAGGTTAGGACAGGCAACTGAACAGGTTTTCTGATCCTAAAAGCCAGGTAAAGCAGACCAGGTAAAGGAGGAGTCCTGGAGCCCTCAGTGGCTTTTGCAGGCTTTTATTGGGATTTACCAGGTACACAGCAGGCAGGGGTGCTGGGGGGCCAGGAGGCTGGCAGTCCTCCCAGCCCCCAGCAAATCCTCACTCTATCTGTGCTCTCTGGCGTTCTCTCTGCTTCTCTTCTTCTCTCGGCTTCTGCTTATTCTACTTCTGTCTCGGCTTCTGCTGGCGTCCCCGTGACCCTGCCCTCATAAGCCCAGTCTTAGCCCAGGTGAATGCCATCTAACTATGCCCACACCCTACTCCAGGTGCCCACCATCAGGCATGCATTCAGGACCACAGGGTTCCATCATCTGTCCTAATGGGAGGGCAGAAAAGCCTGATACTTTTTACCTTACCCTGCAAATGCTTTGACCAAAAAGGATTTTCTGTCACATGTACTATTTTTAAAGAAATGATAAAGATTAAATATACATTCCTTTGGTCTTACTGAAATATTTAAAATATTTTTGCCGTGTTCCATGAAGAATTTAATTCTGAATTTGATACTTACTGTTTGTAATATCCTTAAAGCGGAAAGAAAACTTTAGGTGCCCTTATAATTTCAGCTGAAAGATTTTTATCTTTTAATGGAGAAAAATTTAATTAATATTCACTTTTAATATCAGTCAAGGACATCTAGCTCTACTGCATATTGATAGTTAAGTAAATAAGTAGGATAAGTAGACTATGGAAAGGCCCAAACATATTAAACAGAAAGCAATGAGTTATTAGGTAGTATCTAACTAGTGTTGTCCACCTTCAGGAGTTTCAAATGTAATTGGCAAACAGATGGGGTTAGGGAGGTGATGAGTGTTAATTAGAATGTTGGACAGCTGGAAGCTGAGATACTTCAGTGACACATGGTGGGTACACATGGGTACTATTTTGCTTTTTCCATCAAGATGAGAATGTAACTTTTCTAAGGCTGTGAACCAGTAGAGACTTATGTTAATAAACATTCCTTTAAATGCACAAATTATTAGTATAACATCCTCCCCCCACCGCCAAAAAAAAAAAAGGGTGGCCCCAATACAAAGAGAGTAAGATGGAGAGGATTGAACCTTTCTAGATCTGGCAAGTTCCTACCTTACACAAATAATTTTATAGGTAGGCTTTTTTAGCATTTCTTAACCTTTGATTGGGGCCTAAATCCTGGTCCTGTACCTGCTTCTGTCACATACTCACCTTCACTTTCACTAAAATTCTGTATTTGTGGCTAATTCAATACAGAAGCTCATATTACCTCACAGTGAATATTTTGGTATTCTCTTCCCACCATATAATAGTCTACCAAGATCACTTTTTCAGTCTAAACAGGTGAACTCTAATAAAACTGGTTTATTAAAAAGCAAAATTCAAAAATAATTGCTTTCCTTTGATGTGGGTGGGGAACCCACCTTGAAATATCTAAGGAGTGAACCAGAATTTGATGAAATTTGTGGCAGCCTAAATGAGAATATATATTTAAAAGTTATGTATTCGCTTTACTGTGAAGTAGTAGAAAATATTGCAGTGTATAGTGCTATACATGCTTTTATTTCATGTGGTTTATACTTGAAGAAAACTATATCCCATATTTTTAGTGTTCAAAATTTAGGAATTTCAAAATTTCCAACATTTTGATTAAGAGATGTGTCTAGGAAAATGCAATGTTAATTATTATATGTAAAGAGAGTCTTCAGGGCGTTTGGAAAAATAAGAGTAGTTAAGGCAGAAAAAAAAAAAAACAACTCTGAGCTTACTTAAACTGATAAGAAAAACCCTTAGAGTCTGGGACTGAAGCCAGCAGTCTCTGAAGTGTGATGATATTCAAATACCAGCTCAGGAAATCGGTTGTACTTGAAAGAACAATTTTTTTGAGAAGGTATATTCTGTCTCTCTGACATTATTGTAAAAACAACTGAATTCACCTCTAAGCTACTGTTTTCAAACATTCTTTTTTTTGTGGGGAAAGAGTAAAATGAACTGGAGATATGGTATATTCCTTTTGTTGGTTAGAAAACTTTTCTGAAAAATATCAGTTCTCTTTATAAGTCTTGAAAGTTCCAGATTTTACTACAGAATGAAATACTCAGGACCTAATTTGCAGGTTTCAGATTCCTTGATCAGGCATCTGTTGACATCACATTGCTCCTCATGCATGCTTTTTTCATTCATGCTACCATGTGTAATATAGGTATGTACATATCAAACAACTATGAAAAATGTAAATTAAGTGAGTTTCTAAATTAGTATTTAATTGCAAAAAAAAGTCAGAATCACTATCAGTTTATGAGAACATACTAGTAATTTTCATTTACAAGAATAGGAGTTTAATTTTTACATTCATATTTGTAGATTATGACTTAAAACTTAATATTGGAGCAACAAGTATTTGTTGATTGCAATCCTTTTTTGCTTTGTCTGAACTATTTGCCAGATGGTTTCTGCCATGGTTGTGCTAGTTAAAATGCATTGCTTAATATTGCTTGACTTAACTCATGCTGTAGCTTGAAGATTTCTCCTCATTTTATGGCATTTGTTAACTGTTCACTCTTCTTCCTAAAAAGTTTTACTCTCCTTTCCTCTACCCCCACCTAGATTTGAGTTTGTTTTTGTTGTTACTGCAATGATGATGTAATGACTTTTAGACACATGTGCTGGGTGGTTCCCCAGATTTCACAGATGTTGCTAATCTGAAAAGAGAATTCCAAACACTTTTACAAGACTGTCTCATCTAAGCTAATTTTAGAATGATTGTGTGGAATGAATTGTGCCTCAAATTGCTTGTTAGTTATGGTGGTGGGAGTCTTTTTTGTCCTCAGGAAACAGATAAAAGTATACACAAAAGCACCTTAGAGTGTCTGATTCAGTAAATGTGGAATTTACTGCTATGTTAACTTGTAATGGGAAGTTGAAACGTGGAATAAACTAAAATTTAAATTAAGATTATGCATGGTATTCTATCTAAAACATAGCTAAAAATGGGAAAGAGTAATGACATAAACTCCCAAAGGTAGTTGTAAATTTGAGTTCCTATATACACTGCATGTATTACATTAAACATTCTTCTTCTGTAAGGTCTGTGTAGCTTATGTTCAAAAATAATGGGCTCATAAGGATTAAGACACTAAATGAAATTGCTGATTGTCTGAAATAAGTTACTCAGGATTATGGAAATACAAAATTTTAAGAATGAATTTCATCTGTTGGTCCACAATTATTAAGAGTGCATGTTCTGAGGGCTCCCCACTAATTGAGAAATTACATAATACAGCTTTCAAAGTCCAAAGAATTTTGAGTATTGTGTCAGCTGTTGCTCATAGTATTTTGGTGTTTCCTTTTAGACAGCTGATCTCTTGTCTTAGAAGATAGTGTGTAAACAGCCTTATTCCCAAATAAAGGTGCTGAGTGAAGCTGTTGCTTAATTCATGCTCTTTTGCTGAACTTACATTTATAGAATTCTTTCATAAACTACTTTTTTAATTAAATTATTAACATCAAAATTCCTAAGACAGGGTTACCATTATAGTCTATTTCAACAAGCATATATGTATTTGATATCAGAATGAGAAACATTCATATCTAGTAGGAAATTAAGAGTTCACAAATAATAAATTAATAGATTCTGATAAAGACTAATGAGACTAAAGTAGTGTGACTTGGTTTATTAAATTTTGAGCCGAAGCATCCTTTTAGACACTGAAAAGAGAAAGGTACTGCTGTTGGTAAAGCCAGTCATGTCTCATAACCTGCTAGCTATCTTGCTGTAGAAACTGTAACGTAAGGCCCTTGAAATAGATGCCGTCATCAGCCCCAGCCCCCAAGCATTCATCTATTTAAATACATGACAGAAGATGGTGGAAGAGAGTACAGCAGCTATTTGTGTGGTAGGAGTGGTTATTGTATTAGGACATATTTTGTTGTAGGCCAGCAACTTTTGACTTAAAACGCTGCAGCTGTTTCTCTTCCTGTCCTTACTTCTTTTCTTTTTCCCCCTCTCTCTCTCTCTCTCTCTCTCTCTCTCCCCCTCTCTCTCCCCCCCTCCCTCTCTCCCCTCTCTCCTTCCTCTTCTCTCCTCTCTCCTCTCTCTAATAACTTATTATTTCTCCCACATTTTGTGTAGATCCAAGGAGCAACAAATTCCAGCTTCCTGCTATAGCAGTTACACCTTTATTATCTATTTGAATAGATTTCAGTAGTTTACTTTTTTATTTTTTTAAAGGCAACGGACAGCCAAGACGTAGATCCATCCAAGACTTGACTGTTACTGGAACAGAACCTGGTCAGGTAAGACTTAACATTTGAGTTCTCTGTCTTTGAAGAATATTAATGGGCAGAGATCAAGAATTAACTATAATATATATACTCTGCGAATTACGAGTTGACCTAAAATTATGATGGAAAAGTTTATTGATACTTGAAATTAAATACATAGAAAAATGCATAGATGTCATCATTAGCTTAAAGAATAATTTATGAAAGTAGGTTGATTAATTCAAGTGTTCCATATATGATATGTGGTTTTTATTAAAAGAAGAATTCAATTTTGTGACTTCACAATTTGGCATTGCCACTATCCTCTAAAGTGCATCATTAGTATTGTTTCCACTTTACTAATAAAGGGAATAAATATTTCCCCACTAAGATGTTACTCCTCTGAGATCACATAAGGCAGTGACATACCTAAAGTATTCTTATCATCATTTTAAATTGTCATATCTACTGGATTTATATTTTTGTAAAATAGCCTTAAGATAATATTTACTATGCAGTTGAATAAGCTCTAGAAAGTCTTCTGTCCTGGTTGTTAAGGTTTTCATTCTTCATCTTTATATTTCTGGGTGCTCTTGTTAACTCCCATTATCTCTCTTTATTATCACTGCTTCTTTATAGTTAATCCAGACATGCCATAATATGAGCTGTTACTTATGAGAACAGAGTTTTAACCAATCAAGCAAGTATATAAAGGTAGTTTAATCATTGTTATCTTTTTCTGTTACTCAGTTTAATAAACTTGGCACACATAAATGGTATCATTTCTTAAAATGAATGAGAGCTCATTATGAGGTGTACTGTTGATTTGTTTTCAGATGTGCTGAATTTACATATACAGCATGCATCTGAAATAAAAATCCATATGATGGTCCATATTCATATAAAATTATAGGAATACATATTATAAAAATGTGATTTAATTTATGTAAAATGTATTTGTATTTTCCATCCTAGAAAGATATTTTTTCATTTCATTTTTATAACATGCTTTAATTTATGGAGATTTTTTATAATCATTAATAAAATTTGAAAGCCCCTTATAAGCTATCAATTTAACTAACTTAACTAACGAAAACCCCTTGAGATATTTAACTGATAAATATCCTCGATCTTCATGTATATCCTGAAATATTTTTATTTCTCACAGTGCCTATACATATATTCAGACACACTTATGTACACATACACATAAAATACACACATACTATCATAAATTTTATTTTTAAGTGACCCTGAATCTTCCACTCATTAAATAGCAGTTTTTCAATATATCTACTTTTGTGAGACCCCAGAACTTTTGAATGACGTTTTCCATCTTCTCCCCCTTAAATACTTAAAAAAGTTTTAATCAGGGCATTTAATAATATAGTTTGATGTCTGGTATTTGCTTTGATTCCTTAGAGGCTCGATGAGCTCAGCCTTTTTAATGTTCTTTATTATTGCCATTGATATTCCAGTTATGAGAAATTCTAGCCAAGTGTTCTGCCTTTGACTAGGAATGAGAAGCTTGCTCTAAGACAATTCAGGACCATCTGCTAGTGTGAGTACTCTAGAATAAAGGCGTTGATATAATTCAGGACTGACCTCACCATACCAAGCCTTGCTTATTTCTTCACAAGTTTTATGTTACTGGAAATTATAATTGTTACCCTTTTCATTACAACACCTTCAGATAGTAAAATACTGGAATTGAGGATTACTGTGGTTTGGGGAGAGTCCTTTGTATGGATTGTCATGGACTAAAAAAGATTTGGAGTAAGAAAGTGTTTGTTATGGCAGTAAAACATGCTCTGCAAAAGGTAATATATAGCCGTATTATAGCCAGTTTTTTAAAAATTGATCTACTCTTTCACTTTCTTAACTATTACAAGCTTAAAATGCCTAACATAATTTGGGGTGAGAATGGCAAACTGTAATTCTTATGGACTATGAAAACACTTTCCCCTGAAAATTTTGTGATGAAATACCATTAAATATTTCTAATTATTCATGAAAATAATATTCGTTATTTGAAGGAAAAAAGTATTCAAAACATGGAATTTCAAAATTGAAGATGTTCTTTTTAAAATCCGGCTAAGCAATGATTAAACATATAACCCCTGAATATTTTGTTTTCTCCACAAAAATTGATAAAAGATCAGAAACACATTTGCTCACCCAGTATAATCATAAGAGGAAGAGACAAACTTACTAATCAAACTTAACATTTCATAGGGAAAGTGAACTGACCTGAACTTGTATTTTGGTTCTTGATTTGACACTGACCTTAATAAAATCACTTAAATTCTATGGGTAAGCTAAAATTAAATGGGTTGGTTTTCAATACTGCCATTGCTGTTGAGAGGAATAGTGAACAAAGAAAGCTTCTTATTTAACAATTGTGTAAGTATATGTGTAAAAAAATCACATCTTTATAACATAACTTGCTTTTAAGTTCAGGTTTTAAATTTATTCAAGAAGTTTATTAATGGATCTTATAATGGATCTGACCTACTAAATATTTTGGAAATAAAATGGCAGTTCCTGCTGACACTGAGCCATCAGTTTTGTTAGAAGCTGGATATAATAGTTTTTCTTAACACCAATAGACAACAAAAGCCCAACTCCTTTAGTCTCTTTCTGAAGCCCTCTTAAACAGAGACACTCTACACTCCTTCATGGTAAGCATTCTGCTTCACTACAGCAAATAAATAATCTAGCTCATTCTACCATCGGTATATTCATGGTAGTCTTTAACTTCAGGGGCATTGACACTACCAAGATGACCCATTTATCCCCAAGGAACTTATTTGGGCAGCTCAGACTTAGACCCAAATCATTATAGAGAATTACAGCACTAACTGTTGCCATTTATTTATTGTGCACCTACTTTGTCCTAGGTAGGCCTTTAATATATATTATTTAATAATGCTATAAATTAGGTGCTTTTTTATTGTCATTTTACAGGTGGATTAACTGAGGAATTGAGAAAATCACCTAAGTCTCTTATTTCCCTCATGCTAGATTAATAATTACAGCCACATTTTGCATCCAGATCTTTTTCTAAAGCACACAAACTCTTATGTTTCCACCTGGTATATAAGACTGAATGTAATGCTTGCTAAGGCAACCCTAGACATAATCAGTTTTAAGCATTTTGGCTTCTGATAGCTTCCATCATCATTAATCATTTAGTTTTTAATGGTGAAGTTTTAGTTGTGTCTCATAATTAAGCAAAACTAACCCATCTTGATAATAAATTTCTATAGATAACTGCACAAATTTGTTTTTTAGACATCTAATGAGTCTTTCTATGTTTCACTAAGATTACGCATTATGAAATATGCCAACATTGCCCTTAATATATTGTATCCAAAATAGATGTTTTCAAGATTTCTCCCAAAGAGGGCTGCAGTCAATGAACATCACAGATGATGTAATTATAATTATTTAAAAAACTAGACATTTTATATTTCTATTTGAACTTTAAAATCTTCTTTCACTAGTCATTTATTTGACTCTGGGTAAGCACCTTGATTTCCCTGCGCTTTCGCAACCTTTTCTGCCAATGGGGACCATAACTTCCCACCTCTTGGTTCTTATAATATGTGAGAAAGTACCAGATACATAGTAGCTGATTAATGTTTGTTGTGTGCCAACCTCTCCAAATTGTGACTTCCAAGGCTCTTTATCATTCCTTACTTTAACAGTAGTGTATTACTATCCAGAAATAAAGTGAAAATAGTACTTGGGAAAAACTAAAATCCTTTGATGTTGTATTCTTTCTGTATCATAAGTAAAATTTCTCTCAGGAATCACAGAAAGTATTTGTCTTTAAAGGCCTTTTATCAGGTATTAAGATGTACTATATCATACATTGTTGTTATTTATTAAGGGATAATCAATTATCTAATTCTTTCTATCCTCAGTCTACATCTCCATTAGTGTAAGTTATTTTCTTTTAAAATTCTAAGTCAGAAGCTTACATTCATTTTAAATAATTGCTCATTCATTGTAAACCTTTCTGTTCAACAACTTAAAGAACATCTAAGAATACTAAATTGTAAACTTTCCTTATAGTGAACTATAGTGAACTCAGGATTGTACTGAGCCTATACCTTTGAATTAGAAAGAATATTTTTCAAAACATAGTCATGTAAAAATGACAATTATCTGTGACTTTGATAATGGATAATATGCACTTGTAAATCCACATTGTCAACTGATACCCACTTCTTTTTAGTATTTGTTATTCGAATGTTATTTCAGCAAGAATATCGTATAAATCAACATTTAATCTGTGTTTTGTCCTTGTGTAATTTTAGCAACTAAGAAGATTTCTGAAGGTTTTAAATAGCTTTTAAATGTCAGTCTAAAAGGCAGCACTGGCCGTAAATTATGAAAATATTTTCATAAGTATGAAAAGTCTTTCAGGTGAGACATATAAAGCAAAGCTTTATTTTTGTCTGTAAAATAACTCCCAATCTGTTATTATAAATATAGAGATAAAGTTCTAGTCAAAGTCCAATTTGGGGTCATACTTACTGGTGGTTTACCCATGTGGTTTAAATTTGGCTTAGTATTCTTTTGCTACTTAAACTACTATGTGGCATTTGTGTACTCTTGTAACCACTTTTATTTCCAATCATTGTGCTAAATCAAGTTTCTTTATATCTCTTAAACATTACAGATTATGTGAGAAGGAAGGTAATTGTGTCTAAAAGTTGGAATGACCATCAGGGATTTACCAGTAATGTTTTTTTAAAAAATGGCTATTATAAAATAAAACTTGCATTGCAGGTTGCAAACAGCAACATAAACTTAATCCACAAACTAGTTTAGCTTATTTTTTTCATTGTCACATATTACTGGCTTTTTGTGCCTTGTGTTCTTAGGTATTCAAAAAAATACAGTTGTGACTTATTTTTAAATTTTTGTTTATTTATGCAAACATGTTAACATATTATTCACTGAAATACCCATTCCTTGAAATATAAAGACTTAGTTAATTTACAGATACAAATTTAACTCAAAGCCTTTCTTATAGCTTTACAGAAAGCAGTTTTGAAACTTGACCTTCGTAGCCTTATTTCCTGGTTTTATAGTTATTGAAAACCTTAAGTAGAACAAGTGAGTGTGGACATGAGGTACTTTCTAAGATTTTCTTGGAAAGTAGAAGGTGAAAAGAAATAAGTAGCAAAGAATTCAATTCGAAAAGATTTAAACTTAATACTATAATACTACGTCCAAATAGACTTATTTTACTATGACCGTGGCATATTTTTAAAATATACAAAATCCATTCTTATGTTTCATATTCATAAACCTAATTTTTTTTTACTTGTACTGTCTTATTTAATTTCTCATGACTGATACTGAGTCATTCACATATCACACGCATTTATTTTTTCTTTTAAAAGAATATTAAAAAAGAATATTAAAATTAGACTGACAAAAACTCTCCTTTGCCAGTACCTCAAGGAAAAATTACTCTTTATTGACAATAGAAATTATAAGTATGGTCAAATAATTGTACACTTAAGTCATTAAGACTTACTTTCAGTCAAAGAAGATTAAAAAGACTTGGAAATAATGGCAAAATAGCCGTACTTGCTTTATCAAGGGTAACAGCATCCTAAAAAGTATGAGTTTTATATTTCATTACTAAGTCTCTTTGGTTTATATATTTATTCTTTTTTTTTTTTTTTTTAATATATATCACTGGTAAATAACATAGTCACCAGTCTTATGTCTGAGTACCAGCTGTTTATGTGGTCATTTTACTCAATAAGTATTTATTATTTGGTTATTGTAGATTCAGCAATTTCCTAAGTCCTGTGGATTATAATATAAAAGTGCATGATGAGATTATAGTGCTTTTGAGGAATCACAAAATTTGAGAGTGATGTGAAGCACTTCAGGTTCAACTTAAAGTTTATGTAGAAACAGAATATAAATATAGTTGAAATTCAAATGAGAAAAAAAAACCATGTGTTTATTTGCCGCTTATATTTACAACATAATTATCTGCCAATTAGTGAGCATTTTTATTATATCAAGCCACTTCATGTACATTATTTCATGTGACTTTTACAACCTGATGAAGCAGGTACTACTGTCCTCATTTTACTACCACGTCTAGAGATTAAATAACATACCTAAACCTTCACTGAATAAATGGCAGACCAAAGGCTCACACTCTGCATTGTTTTGTGTCCAAAGCCTGACTTCTTCACTATTTCTTCTTTACATCCACATTTGATAAATAAGGAGCCTACGCCTCAGAGTGGCCAGGTTATCTGCTCAAGTTCACATAGCTATAAATAGCAGAACTGAGATTTAAAATCAGGTCCCCATAGCATTAAACTAAACTCTATGAATTTGCTGCTATTTGACAGTTTTTAGATCTACAAAAATGACAGTTTTATGTAGTTCAGTTTCATACATGCTCTTCGCACAACATCTTTGAGAGTATAGGATGTCAGGATTAAAGCAGGAAGTGAAACAAGATCATTATAGTATTGTCAGAGGAAAGACCATCTGGATAGGTAAGGTAAACCTGCTGATGGAGGGTCATGAATGCCAGGGTGAGAATTTCAGAGTTGATCCAATAACAACTGACAAGTGAACATTTTGTGTTCGCACACTGCTGGGCCCTCCTTTTCCTCAACACAGGATCTAGCTTTGTGCACAAAGAACCAAACATGTGGCAGAAATAATCATGTGATGTTGAAGGGAACCTGAGCTGGTCCCTTAAAGATGAAAAGAAATTGGCAAGGAAAAAAACAGAATGAGATGAGCATCACAATACATGGAACATCTGTGTCAGTGTGGCATGAATGAACTAAAGTTTTGGAAGGCCAGTCTGATATGGCACTAAAACTTGCTTATGATAGAGACCAGCTCTTGGGAATTTCTGAAGCAATTTCAATAAGTACCCAGAATGAAAGTAATAGCCTATCAGTTTTTCTTTTCAAGATTGTTTTATAATTTTATCTCTCAGAAATTGATATTTAGTGTCTTCAATACCTTTAGTTTTCAAGGCTTAAAAGAAAAGTTCTCTATCACATCTATAGCCCAACTTCACATCCTTTCCAGATAAAGAAAATAAATACTACTTGAAGTGCCCTAAATGAGACATTGGGTACATCATAATTAGAACTCATGTATAATGATTCTAGTCAAGAGTACTTTTCTACCACTATATTGCCTCTTATTTTACTTGATGCAGTCTTGAATTTCAGTGTTTCTGTGTTTACATATTGAAACTGGACATAAGAGTCTTTATCAGTTGATATGCTTTTTATGTTTTCCTTTATATGACTCAGTATCTTTTTTTGTCTCCTGTTGGGTATTCTGTAACACTTCAAGAAAGAGATGCTTTAAGAAATCCATTTAATTTATATGTCCTTTGAGAGCTTTTAATATATGAAGTATTAATACTAGATAAGAATATATTGGGGCCTCCCCTGGTGGCGCAGGTGGTTGAGCGCCTCACTGTGAAGCTGTCCGCAGCTTCTGCAGTGCCAGTTCGATCCCAGCCAGCCAGCGAGGGTGCCACGTGGCGCTGCAGACCTCTCATGTCACGCCCGCTGCTCCCCTCAGCAGTGTGTTTCGTCAGTCTGCCTGTTCTGTTCCCCACTCTGTCTCTGGTGAGTCCTCTCACCCTCTCGCGCCTCTGGCCTGTACCCCAGCTGTTGTATGCATAAATAAATAAATCTTTTTAAAAAAAAAAAAAAAGAATATATGTAGTAAGTTATGAAACTACCAATAAGATGAGCACTCATGAACCCACCATCAAACTTATATGAAACATTATCAATTCCTGTGAGTCTCCCTATGTATTTGTCACCTGTGGTTTCCCTTTAATCCTCCCATCCACCCCCAATACCATGTTGTAGTGTACTCCCATTTCTAGACTTCTAATAAATATCCTTTATCTGGTTGAGAAAATCTATTAAATGGAATTTAAGTTGAGGAAATACATTTTTCATAAGTGAATACTGGATTTTGTTGAATGCTTATTAGGCATCTCGAGATTTTCCTTTTATAAACTATTGGGATGAATTTGGATTACTAGAATTTCTGGGTTTTTTTTTAAAGATTTATTTTTATACAAGAATTGGGCTACAGGCCAGAGATGCAGGGGATGAGAGGATTCACCAGCGACAGAGCAGGGAACAGAACAGGCAGACGGACCAAAGTACACTGCTGAGGGGAGCAGCAGGCGAGACAGGAGAGGTCTGTCCTACCATGTGGGTTTCTCCCTGGCCAGCCGGGAATCGAACTCGTGCTGCTGTGGCTGCAGATTGCTCCATAGGTTGCGTCTTAACCCCTGCGCCACCAGGGAGGCCCTGGATTACTAGAATTTCTAATAGTAATTTCTGATATTAAGTGACCTCTGTATTTGTAGGGTAACTTCAACTCTTTAAATTATTTTCTTTTATGCTACCACATTCCATTTGTTAATATAATTTTTAGGACTTTTAACTTGCATCTTTTTTCATAAGTCAGGTTGGCTAGTAGTTTTTCTTCTACTACCTTTGTTTATTTTTTATTCTTTTTAGATGGATTTATTTTTGCATAGAAGAACTGGGGTGTTGGCCAGAGGTACAAGGGATGAGAGTATACACCAGAGACAGTGGAGAGCAGAACAGGCGAGCTTACTGAAATACACTGCTAAGCGGAGCAGCGGGCGAGACAGGAGAGTCTGTCTTGCCGTATGTGGGTTGGCTCCCTGACCAGGGATCGAACTCAGGTGGTAGTATTGTTAGCACTGAGACTTAACTTGTAGGCCACCAGGGAGGCCCTCTCTCTGCTTTTGTAGGGTAGGCTTTTCTTCCTAGTTTACTCTTTCCCTATGGAAGCCTTTCTTGAGTTTTTGCTTTAAGCTGGGGTTTCTCCATCCTACAGAGGTTTAAGACTTTATACCTGTTTCTCTGAGTGTGCCAGGCAGTCAAAACAAAAGTTCTGGACCATTGGTGTTTTATTAAAATTTCCAGAACTAGCAACTTAAACTTATGCTAGACTCCTATTTGCGTTTTATTTCTGATCTCTGATCAATTCTCTTTCTTGCAAGTTCTTCACTTTTAGAGATATCATATATGAGTGCATATAAACTTTAAAATATATAACATCTAATATTCTCAGATTTGTTTTTCTGCAAAAGTGTTTTGGGAGTGCTATAGATAGAGATGTAAGTCTATCTTTTGCCTTATGGTGGAAATACCTGGTTCTATTTTTAAAATCAAAATCACAATTTGTCCCTTCTTTCACTTCTTCCTACAGGTGAGCAGTAGGTCCTCCAGTCCTAGTATCAGAATGATCACTACCTCAGGACCAACCTCAGAAAAACCAGCTCGAAGTCATCCGTGGACCCCTGATGATTCCACAGGTTACCTTCATCTTATAATTATGAAGTCGAAGGCATCATTTTGTGTTATTGATCTTTACAAAGACGGCTTGCTACTGTAGCTTAGATTCTCATAGTAATTTAAATGTAGCAGTAAACTGAAAATGTCTTTTTGAGTACTGGGGGGAACCTCATTGCTCTTTGCATTTTCCCCTCCAGATATTAAACATGTATTTTGAAGATGGTTTGTTTTGGAGATTTTCCAGATAGGAAGATACAATATTCTTGAGACCTGAGTCTATTATTTTCCTATTATGATCCATCCTGTGGAATGATTATATTAAAACCATTATCTTTTAAATAATTATAGGCAACGAAGTGTTTAAAAAAAAATCTTAGTCTTCTGTTTTAAAAACATAAGATATGTGAGAGAAAAATTTCTCACTATTGACCTTTTGAATGATTTTTAACGAGCAAGGAGATTTTGTTTCAATTACATAAATATTCTGTTAAATAGACCTTAAAAGCCTGTTCAGAGTTATTAAAACTCTTTGATTTAAATAGTGACTGGTTTTAAAATATTAATATTAAAAGTCTATCTGAAGATAGCGGTTGAATAGTTTCATAATAGGTAAGTAAGAAATTATGTGCCATAGTGAAATTAACTTTTCCTTAGCATTAAGAGAATACTTTAATAAATAGTCAGCACTATACTTCTCTAAAAATTATTTATATGTTACTATGTCAGAGAGGGAAAGATGATCTCTCAGACTGGAAAATTAAACCTTTTGGTATTTTACATAAGATCAGCTATGTTATTAATAGTGAATTAAATGGAAATTAAAAAGTCAGCTTTCTGTCTTTACAAGCTAAAATACTTCTTGTAAGTATTTATAGGTATTGGCATGGTTTAGTCAATTTCATAATTTAAAAAATTAACTGGGTAGTTCTCCTCTGTGTGATGTTAGATAGCTCTATGTTTAGCCAGGGGGTGTGCTCTCTAGCTTTAGTAAGTTTAAATTTAGTGGTGGCAAAACCTCCTAGGTTTCACCCCTAGCACAGCCTAGCCTCAAATTGTCCAGAACATTGAGCACTGCACAATATTTATGCAGTCCTCATCAGAAGTAGACACTACAGAAAGGCTTTTGGCAGATTTGATCATTAATGTTCAGGTGATACCAATTCTTTTTAGTTCATAAACTCTTCAGTGGAGAAGTACTCCCCAATATTAGCACTTGCCCAGATCTCTGGTGTTCAACTTGGTACTCAACAATAAATTACAATCTCTTGACCTCAGCCTAGACTAATCTTGACATGCCAGTAACGTGGCAGAGTATGAATTCATGAGGGTAAAATCAAAATTCTCTGAAGTCCCTCTTACTTAGCTGCTGGGTTTCTACTTCAGTTGTTCTCCCACCCTTCCAAAGCCTGTCTCATTTTTTGTCTTTTCTGGAACCTAAAATAATACAAAATACCAATAGCTAAAAGTAATACTTAGACCCAGCTGCAATATCCAACTGAATTTTGTCTTTGCCTTCAAATATATTATAAATGTATGGTTATTTTTTAAGTAATTTTTAATACAATCTTAGAAGTGGAGGCTCTGGTGAAGTCTGTAATTAATGAAGTTCAGCTTTGCGCTATTTCTAAGAAAAGTATTGATATGCTAATAGAATAAATTAATGGAATTAATAAAGATAAGTAAAGCCTTTTCCTTTGAATGCCCATTGACCCAGGAAAAAATTAGAAGTGCATATATAAGTTAAAACACTCTAACTATATTTTCTTTTTAATTTAAAATCAGAGAGGTTTCTGTGTCTTGTCTTTAGAATAGTACAGAGCATATATTTTATAATGATAGCATATAATAAGTACTCTTAGGTTTCTGTTTATAGTATAGTGGGGTTAAAGAAAGACATATATACCAAAGCAACTAGTGAGAGAGATACTTAGACCCAGTAGAGGGAGCAGCAAAAGGGGAAAAACTGAACTCAATGAGATTTCCACTTTGCTTAGTACTTCGCAAAGGTGAAAGTAAATATAAGACATGGCCCATCACTTTCAATCTGATTTGTCATAATACTGACCTGACACACTAAAAATATACTCCTCGTGCTATATAATAAAATTTTAGTACAAGCCTAGTGTTTAATAGTAAACAGAGAAATCAATTAGATAAGACTTGGCATAGCCTGTTACTTTTTTTGTAAAATAGTGCAATTGTTCTTTAGTCATGAAGCAATAAGGAGAAGATAGCATTCCATAGGTAGGTAACATTATACTTAAGGATTGTGTGACAGTTATAGGATTGTGTTTGAGGGCCGAGAAAATATTTTTCACTTAATTTAACCAAACCAATATAAGTCTCAGCATTCAGGAGAAGATGTTCAATTTAACCAGCCATTAATTAGAAAGCAAACTTTCACAGTATAATCTTGCTGTCTTATGACCAATCATTGCTGTTAGACATTTAAAATTAAATTTCAGCTTACATGTAAGTGAGAAGGTGAAATCTCATGTCTTAGTTTGAAAGAAAAGATGAAATTCAATAAAGGACCTTAATTCCCCCACCCATGAAGGGTTTTAATAGTTTGAATAGTGTAATCCTTGAGCTTTTCTTTCTACTCCCAGGATAAGTGAAACATTGTGATATTTAATTCTAAACTACATACCATCAAATGTGGGGTATATCTTAATAAGCTATATCAAGTATCCAATATTTAAGAAAGAATAAATAAGTATGAGTGGAAATGTAAAATTGAAAAAACTTAATTTTTTTAGTGCGGTCAGGGGGAAATCATTTTTAATCAGTGTTGGTTTGGTAGAAGCAGTGTTCTGTGGGAGCATAGTTTGAAACTACTTTTGAGAGTAGGGAGGTGGTTGGTCAGAGAAATAACAAATTAAGTGTATTTCTTCTTTAACCATTTCAGAGATACATTTATGTTAGCATAAGATTTGGGGGTAGGGCCTCCCTGGTGGTGCAGTGGTTGAGCGCTGGGTTGCGAAGCTGCCCGCGGCCTCTGCGGGGCCGGTTCGATCCCCGGCTGCTCCCCGGCCACAGGAGGAGGGTCCCACATGGCGCGCAGACCTCTCCTGCTGCCCGCTGCTCCCCTCAGCAGTGTACTTTGGGCCTTCTGCCTGCTCTGCTCCCCACTCTGGCTCTGGCGAGTTCTCTTACCCTCCGCGCTTCTCACTGTAAACAGTGCATGTATAAATGAACAAATAAATAAATAAATAAATAAAAATACATGCCTCTTTAAAAAAAATTTAAAAAAAAAAAGATTTGGGGGTAAACAAGGCTCTACTAGACAGTACTCTTTCTCTGTTGCAGTCTTAATATTTAAGACACTACTTTTTCAATCTAAAATGTAAACTAGACTATTTTAAATTGCCCTTCCTTCTTCACTCTCCATTCAATGCCAGTGATGATAATATAGTCACTACCACCATGTATGAGTGCTTACCATATGCATGATGTTCCTTATTTGCATTGTTTCACTTGGTCTAATTTAGCTTAGCTTTTGGAGTTACTTGCAAGTAATACTCAATGGCTTTAAAAAAATAGTATATCAATCAGCAGTAAATTAGGAGGTTACTGAACCATCAAGCTGTCTTAGATTTTATTGGATCAGATATAATGCCCTGCTGTCATGCTGACCTTATCCACACTATTCTTTCAAAAAGTTATTACTTAGAGAAAAACTACTAGTTCACTTGTTTATTAACTCATTTATTCCCCCACTAAAACTGGGAAAGCATCTGTTTTGAAATAGAAAAGTCCCTAGTACTTCACAGTCAATCCTGCTTGCTCTTAGAACTGTTTACATAAAGGTCAAGTTGGGAAGAGCTCGTCTCATATTCCTCTTGCAGGTTGTTACAGCAGTTTTACCGCTTGAAATACAAACAAAAACTTTGTGGTCTAATAGTTTGATAAAATTGAATATACAATGACAATGGTTGTTAAATTAACCCATTAAACTGTTTTTGGTGTAACATTGAGCCACAGTTTTCATACTGTTCATATTTGTAATTTACTCCTATCAATAGCATCTGTTCTGCAGTGATTCTCCTACTGGGAGAAGTGGGATGGGAGGGAGGGAGATCTCATTAGAATCCATGTAAATCAAAGCTGATTCCACTGGCAGACATTGTGTCACTTGTTTTCCTTCTTTTCCTGATAGGGGATACTCAGGTTGCCAGAGTTGACACACCTTAAAGCAAAACTTGACTATGGTTGAAGAGAGAAAGTTGAGTTTGATTAATTAGGTTCAGTTAGGAATGAATTTAAAATATGAAGGTTCCGGGCCTCCCCAGTGGCGCAGCAGTTGAGCACTGGGTTGCGAAGCTGCCCACAGCCTCTGCAGCACCGGTTCAATCCCCGGCTGCTCCCCGGCCACTGGAGGAGGGTCCCGCATGGCGCGCAGACCTCTCCTGCCATCCGCTGCTCCCTTCAGCAGTGTGCTTCGGTCCTTCTGCCTGCTCTGCTCCCCGCTGTGGCTCTGGTGAATTCTCTCACCCTCCCGCGCTTCTGGCTGTACCCAGTGCTTGTATAAATTAAAATAAATAAATAAATAAAGCGCAAATGTTTAAAAAAAAAATAAAATATGAAGGTTTCATTTCACTCTGTGTTTATAATTAAGCAAGGTTTTAGTAGCCTTAATCTATTGTATTCTATTCAACTTATAGTGAACTTAAACTGTAAGTCTAAGAATGTGAATGTGTTTTAATGTATTTCATGAGTGAATGTCCTCTGTTGACCTTTAGAATTCAAGAATAGGCTCTTTGTTACCAGTAGCACTGTTTTTATTTCTTGTGTTACTTGCTTTAGGAATAAAAACAATATTTCATGCATGCTTTCGTCCCTTTTGTTTCTAATTATTTATGACAAAAATAAATAAAATAAATGCTTTAATTCCAGATACCAATGGATCAGATAACTCTATCCCAATGGCTTATCTTACACTGGATCACCAACTACAGGTAAAAGAGTACTTTTCTCAGTCACTGTGTATGTTTTCTTTTTAAGATTTTACCTTTAAAGCTGATGATTGTTTCCTGTTTGCCATTGTATATTTATTTATGCTTTTAATTCACCTTAATGCTTTAAAATAAATGATTCTTACAGTTAAGCTAATCAAATTTCAAATTATCAAAATCATGTGCTCTTGTTCCAGCAGTGGTCTTAAAATACCCCCATATATTTGTTCAAGACTGCAAGAATAGCAGTTTTGTTGTTTAATTTTAATACAGTAAAACTCTTATAAGTTTGTTGCTACTTAAATAGATTTTTTGATACATTGTCGTGTTCATATGCTAAAGGTGTAAGTAGTACACTTCAGACTCTCATGAGTGTGACAGCTATTATGTAAACATCTGTTGATTATTTTTCCTTTTTTAATTTAATTTTATGTATTTTTTTACATCATTTTTCATTTTTGCACAATGTATGCATTTTCATCTTGGTTATAGTCCCCAGACAATTCCCACCCCCCTTGTTTTGATCCTACTTCCTTTTCCCCCACCTATATTGTGTCTCTGGTTTATAGTTGCTTGTTGATTTTGATTTTTACTTTATTATAATTAGTCTTTCTCCTGGTCCCTTATTTGTTTTATAATTTGGCAACCTAGAATGTAGAGCACTCTGGTCATGGTACGCTCTAACAACAAGTGTTAAAACAGTAAATGCACTTTTCAGTTCTGAGTTAACTGACAAAAGGAACTAAGATTTTCTAGGGTGTGATTTTGGCCCTTATTTATAAAAGATCATTGCTTTAGTGCTCTAAAAATATATCACAGTCTCTATTGTAACTCTCAGCTAGATATTAAGATTTGACTTAATTATGTTTTAACATTCCTAATTTATTTTCAGCCTCTTGCACCATGCCCAAACTCCAAAGAATCTATGGCAGTATTTGAACAGCATTGTAAAATGGCACAAGAATATATGAAAGTTCAAACAGAAATTGCATTGTTATTACAGAGAAAGTAAGTTATTTTTTATAAATGAAAATACCTTAGTATTTTGAGTTTCAAACATGTAGGTACAATATAGTTTGATGACATGAAAACATTGTAGTTTTTAAAATTAAACATCTTTCTAACTTGAAGATTTTATATATGTTCCTGTTTATGTTTTAAGCTTCCTTTGGGTATTTTTCATACAAAACTCAACTCTTGACTGTATCATGTAAGTAGTAAGGAAATTAAACTGGTATAAACATGTGTCTTATGTTCTCATAATTTTAAAGTTAAAGTTGTTTAGATTTACTCTTATAAAGATTTATTTCCCGGGGCCTCCCTGGTGGCGCAAGGGGTTAAGCACTGCTCTATGAAGCAATCCACAGCCTCTGCAGCACGAGTTCGATCCCCGGCTGGCTAAGGAGCTACCCACATGGCGCAGCAGACCTCCCCTGGCTCACCCGTTGCTCTCCTCAGCAGTGTATTTCAGTACATCTGCCTGTTCTGCTCCCCACTCTGTCTGGTGAATCCTCTCACCTCCCACATCTCTGGCCTGTACCCCAGTTCTTGAATGCATAAATAAATAAATCTTTTTTAAAAAAAAAAAGATTCATTTCCCTGGACATAGGTAAAATAATTTGATTTACTGATATTCAGTTGTGCTTTATCTTAGAAACATTTTTCTAGATATATTCTTCTAGATGTATATTTAGAAAGTTATAATTACTTATTAAAAGACCTTTTCCCTAGCTATGCATGTTTGTCTGGAGAGTTTTAGTCTCATACATGTTTTTCTGAGACTTTCAGAGATTGCCTTCCTCCCTTTTAAATAAATATAGTCCAATTTCCATACTCCTTTATTTGTGATTGTTTAAAAAATAAAATACTTCAGTTTTCTTAAGCATGGCCCTCATGAAATTCTATACCTATGAAGCTGATTTGTAGTGGTAACTAAAATGAAGTGTTGTAGGACAAAATACAGCAGCAATGAATGGTCACAGTAATATGATTCCCTTTCAATTTTAATCTAAAAAAGTGAAAATTCTTGTTTTCTGAGTAATTTGTGCAAAGTTTTCTTTGTGTACTTCAAAAGGGATTGTGGTGAGACTGTCTAGTTTTATCACAGTTTACTGATATAGTGAGTTAAATGAATTCATCTCGGTATCTTAGATAGAAAACTAAATATCTGAGCCTGCAAATCTTAGAACTAATTATGGATCTACTGGCATCTTATATATACTTTTTAGACTCTTATTTCACATAGTTAACCTATATTTCTTCCTATACAGTGAATTTAGAAAAGAAGTAAAAGCTGTGACATTAATGAACTTCAAATACTTTAAAGTAGAAATATTACTAGGAAATTATTTCAAGGGCTTTTTTATGATTCAGTTATACCTAGTAGCCTCACTTTAAGAACTTATACTGACTATCCCCAAATAAAAGGGACTTAAGAAAAGTTAGTGATTTCAAAAGTTGTGCTTTGTATTGTTCTCACTATCTTAGGAAAGAGATTTAAGTCACCTTCTATTTTAATTAGCTTGCAGTGTTCTGTTAGCTACACGTTTGCAGTGTAAATGCGATTATGACTTCAGAGTTTGAATATGCATACATGAATATAGAAGAATATGAATGATAAAACTTCATATTATTTTCCTGTAGACAGTCTTCCTCTGCCAACCTTTCTCTCCCTTCCTACACAAAAGGGATACTAAATAAAATTTTCTGAAATTTTTATTATGCCACTTTATCTATTTTATTAGTTCTGTTACTTATTAAAAGGATTATGCTATTTCTATGACTATAACAGAGAAATGGATCATAGTGTCCATTCCACCCCATAATTATATTTTAGTAACATACATACAATGCCTAATGACAAACCCAGTATAAAGTTATAATTATTTTCATCATCAACTAATAAGTTATGAATTCTTCCATCCTGTTCAATATTTTGTTGTGTGGTGTTTGTTTTTAGACAAGAACTAGTTGCAGAACTGGACCAGGATGAAAAGGACCAGCAAAATACATCTCGTCTGGTACAGGAACATAAAAAGCTTTTAGATGAAAACAAAAGCCTTTCTACTTACTACCAGCAATGCAAAAAGCAACTAGAGGTCATCAGAAGTCAGCAACAAAAACGACAAGGCACTTCATGATTCTCTGGGACTGATAAATTTTAAAATATGCAGACTTTTTTTTTTTTTTTTTTTTAAAGGAAGAAACACCCTTATAATGACAATTCATGCGTGTTAGCTTTTTGGCGTGTTCTGAATGCCAACTGCCTATATTTGCTGCATTTGTTTCATCATTTATTTTGCTGCATTTGTTTCATCATTTATTTTCCTTTCCTCATCATGGATATGCAATTCAACCGTCTCCTTGTATAACATGGGAGCATCTGTGACTTGAATAAGCAGCAGTTTTCAACTTCAAATCAGATGCAGTGAACTATGGCTATATATGCATGCTTATTGTGTGAAGGCTAGCCTAACAAGAACAGGGGGTATCAAACTCGCTGCTATGTGCAAACATTGCCTGTTTTTGAGGTAGAACCTCAAGTATGATTTTGTTCTTGTATCTCATCTCAAAAAACCTAATTTTTTCCCCAAAAGATATATACCAAGTAAAGACAGGGTATTATAAATCTAGAATAATTGGTGGTACATTATAGAAATGCAGAACTTGTAGGAATAATTCAGAGTGAGGGCTTTGATGCCAGCATCCTTGGATCAGTACTGAACTTGGTTCCATCCATAAAATATTTAAAGGTAAGTGGTGGCTGCTGTATTTAATAAAAGCATACTTCATTGATTAAAATTTGACTATGATACAGTGAACAAAATGAAAACTTTTTTTTAAGGTATAAAGATTTTTAATTCTGTGATTGTGTGTATGTGTGTTGAAACTGTAAAGCTTTTATGACTCTAATATTAATATCTCTTAAATGAAATTAAAAGGTAAATGAACTTGATCCAGTTTAAATGATCATTCCTTCCTGCAGTGATTATTGAATTGTTTTATCCTGTATTTGAAAACCTGAAAAGAAAGAATGGAATATAGAAATAATTATCCTGGCAAAAAGACTTAGAGATCTTTTTATGATACAAAAAAATCTATAAAAAACCCAGCACATCAGGAAAAGTTAATAAGGAAATTAAAAAAGTAAATATAAATTCATCAAGTATCCTATTTATTGATATTAGAATAATTGTTTTTCCTTGCAAGCCCTAGATGCCTGCTGCCTTTCAACACTTTTAAGGGAATTTCAACACTTACAAAGAGAAAATTTATATTGTTAACAGTAACTTTGCTACCAACTTTGAAAATAAAAGTAAAATAAAATTTCATTGAAGTAATAGACTATATATAAGCTCTATTTTTTCAGTTGGTATTAAATCAATTTTGATACCAGTACAAGGCATCTTTTAAATAAAGATGTCATCAACCTCATTTTTATAGCAATGTTTTGTGAAAAGAAAATTAAAAATGAAAGTGTAATTGCTATGATTATTAGAATTATATCATGACTATATTGTAGTTTTGCTTTATTTCAGATTAGTTGATCTAAGAAGTTATCAAAACTATTCTTAAAAATGCTAAAGCAAGTAATTTTCTTCCATTATTTTTTCCTCCTCCTCCCAGAGTTTATAATGTATTTCTGTGTATACAAGCAATAAAGGTAAAGAACAGTTTGTACTAAACTGTGTCATTTTTAGCTTCTTTAAAATCTTTTATTAAAAATGTCCTTATCACTTCATTTAAAAAAAGGGAGAGTTATTCCCAAGCAAATTGATTTCATAGCTGAAAATGATGTTTGGCTCAATGTATTAATAGTAAAATAAAATTGACACAGAAAGTATCTGCAGATTAACAAAGCGCTTAACTCATTCGTGGCATTGCTTGTCAGTAAACCTGGCACTCCATCAAAAGGGACCTAGTCAGTGGTTAGATACTTTCCTAATTATCTCAGCATGAGATAGCCAAGTGTGGATGCTACAGCTTGACTTTTCCATTAGGATTTAGCATTATAGGTTTTAGATTTTATTTCTAGTCATTAATGTATTTTTACTATGTCATTATATACTTTAGAGAAATTATTGTTTTTATTACATGCAATCATGTCATAAAAATATCTGAAGAGTTAGATAAAAGAAAAGAGTTTCACGGTACCAAATGCAAAGAAAAGGCTGCTGACCAGTTGCTTGTTTGTTTACACTAAGTTCCTTCAAATTTTCAATACTAGTGTCCTGAACATTGAGTGCAGTTCAGCCTTACTTAGTATTCAAACAGTTGCTTGACCAAGCTCATGCTTTTAAAATCCTGATTATCCTTGATGATAGAATAGGATAGCAAGGATGAGCAAAATTCACAAACAGCGTCTTCAGTGTCCTCACCAATCAAACCTTCAAAGAGAGATGTTATCAAGGAGCCATATTTTTTTGTATTCATTTTGCCTTTGCCATTTATTCTAACCCTCTCTTGTTTCGTGGAAATAGCAAACACACAAGCAAGTTGGTAAAAAAGCCCCTGTCTAAGAAATTCACATACAATCCCTGAAAAAACCCTCGTTGCATTTTATTCTTGCCTCCAGGGAAAGAAAACAAAGCTTTTATCTAATCTAGAGAAAAATACCCTCAGCATTAAAAATAGCTTTTTTGAATCAAATAAAAAATAAGAATATTAACCTAATAGCAACACAGTATATTGAAGAGATTTGTTTAAAAGCTGTTTACAAATGTTTGACTATTTTTGCTGAAGTATTACAAAGTATTGAATGTCTCTTTTTCTTCAAGTTTCTCTTATGTTCCTAGTTTTCCTCCTGCCTGTAGCCAGAGATCACAGGGCCTTTCCTGTGAAACTTTTTCTGTAAGTGTATGTGGTTTTAAGCAGTCAGCTCCTCTCTTTCAAATGGTAGTTCTACTCTGTCATTCAGAATATTTTATGTAAAATGATGTAATGCAGAAATCTTTATGCATACTGTATAACTGAAGGAAGCTTTTTAGATTTATTTTTGTTTGTAATAAAATTTAGATTGTTATTCTAAACTTGTTCATAAAAATGGTGATTTAAATCAAGAAATTATTTATAAGGTGTTCTCCAGAACTATTTACCGTACACAAAATGCAATAGAAACTTAAAGGTAGTATTCTTACATGAGGTGACACTACTGTAACATGATCATGATTTTTGGATGAGTGGGTGACTCATCCAAACACATATATAACAGCCATATAACACATCATCTAACACAGCTATATAACACGGCATCTCCAGTTTTTTGTTAAATGAGCGCTCTTCAGTAAATCCCAATTTGTATGAAATAGAACATGGTATACATGTTCTCTCAATAGAAAATGATTTTTTATAGTATCTATAAGTTACATTAAGTAATTCATTCCTTTATCAACCCACCCAATGTACACTTAGACACACAAACTTTCTTAGAAACTCTCTATCATAGTGAATCCCTCCATTGACTCACTTCTTAAACAAATATTTATTGAACACCTATTTTAAACTAAACTGCTGTAACTGATACCAAGTCACATGTCCATTTCAGTCACATGGAAGTTACCTGGTATGCCCATTTCTCATGTGGGAAAATAGACTCCTAAAGGTTAAATCTTGTCCCTGAGCTTGCTTTTGCATCACCTTTTTTAAATGGTATCTCATGCCTGTGATGAAGAACAGCTACGAAAATTTTTTTAACTGAATGGCAAAGAAAGGGGAACATGGGGTTTCTTCAAGCTTGCAGGCACAGGGGCTTTGTCACCACCATGGAGTGCGCAGCAATGAAGCACCATGTACCTTACATACTAATCTGTGTACTAAACTGCCTTGTCACACAGTCGTTACAATATTCACTGAGTCCCAAGGTGCTTCGGTTTTCACATTCATTTATACAATAGATTAGGTGTCTTCATTCTTCCACCCTCTTCACCTGAAAGACATTCCAAAAATAGAAATAATGATATAGTTAAGTCTTGGTCTAGTAAAATGACTTGTTCACTCTCCAGGAAACTGAGGCCTAACCTGAGGGCTTTTTATTTTCCATTTTGGTTTTTTTGTGTGTTCTTTTTGTTCGTTTTTGCTTTGGGAAGGGTCTTCTTTGTTTTTGATTGGAGTACAATTTTATATAATAATGTGCACCATTTAAAGTATACAGTTTGAGTTTAGACTTAGGTATTCATGTGTGAAACCTTCCAACAGCCAAGACAGTGAACATTTCATCCCCCTCCAACATTTTCTGAGGCTTTTATACTCATCCCTCCCTTCACTCCAGGCTCAGACACTGATCTTTTGTCTAACAGTGTAGATTAGTGTTTGTTTTCTAGACTTTCACATAAAGGATATCAAACAATATGTACTTTTCTTTTTAAGCTTTTTTCCCCTCTGGAGTAGGTCTTTTAATTCCTTAGGAAATTTTAATTAAACCGTTATCAGTGATACTTGAAAACCTTTTGTGTCCCTCTCTAGGGAAAACAGGTTTTCAGAAGCTGTAGATGTGTTCAGTATGGCCTGCTTGATTGTGCAGTGTTATCATCTGAAGCATTTAATTTTGTTTTTACAAAATCCCTTGTTTGTTTAAGTATATTTTTATCTGTAAGACTTTTGGTGTTAGAAATGTGAATGGACATGACAAGTTACTTATTAATAAGCCTGTGTAGTTTTTGGCAAATACAGTTAATTAGAATAATTTGCAAAATCAAGCTTTCTGTTTTTCATTTCTTTTTAGATTAAGTTGCTTTTTGCTTGTTCAAAAATACAAGATCAGATTGAGTATTACACCACAGAATAATATGCGAAATAATATAATTATAGTAGACATCTTCAAAAATATTTAACATGGTGTTTCATAAGATGTTGTCCATGGTTCAACCTGGTAAGGCAGTGCTTGTAGAAGTGAGATTGCTGTAGCAGGTACACTGTTTATGGCCAGGACCTGTGCACCTTTTCCATCAGTGACTTGTCACTGCTCTCAGAATTTTTCATGCTCCCTGCTATTAGGTGCCACCAAAATGAAGCTGCTATTTAAATGACCTGTCGTCAATTTTTTCAGTGAAACTTTTCTAAAATATGGCTACTCATCTGAGTTTCATGATGCTTTTATATTTCTAAGAACTGAAATACATTCTTTATCCTCTAATTTAGTGGTCAGTTTTATCTTAAACATGCCTTATGATAGCAGAATAATTGCTTTGAAAACACCAGAAATAACTGAGCAAATGCTATTTCGGTGTATAAGTATTTTAATCTCCTTTGCTGAGTTTTATTATTGGGAATTTAATTCTTTTTGGTGTAATGGTAAATGGGTTTGTTTTCTTGATTTCTCTCTAGTTCATTGTTTATATATAGAAATGTAAACCTACCGCTTTGATGTACTGATGACTTCTAATAGGTTTTTAGTGACATCCTTAAGGCTTTCTGTATACTACCATGTCATCTGCTAATAATGATAGTTTTTCTTCTTTCCCAATTTGAATTCCTTTTATTTCTTGTTTAATATCTCTGACTGGGACTTCCAAAACTATGTTGAAAAGTAGTGGTGGTAGTGAACATTTTTGTCGTGTACCTCATCTTAGAGGAAAAGTAGAAAGCTACAAGCCTGGTGAAATGACCTTAATGTGAACATTTTTCTAAATGAGAAAACTACAATAAGTTTCTTATGTTGCTGTGTGTATTATACGTATAGATTATTTGTTTTTTGTAATTTCTATCAGAAATTCGGTGGTGTTGGGAGTGGGTTTGTTTTGAACTGGAAAAACTGGTTTTAAGTTCATAAGGATTTGTATTTTCTACATTTTCTAAAAGATTATGTAACAAGAATATAAATTTCTTGGTTCGAAAAAATTATATCCTTGTGGAAATAACTTTTTAACTATAATATCTTTAAAAGTAGTTGTATCAGACAAACAGGACTTCATAAAATGCAATTATAGGCACATATATAATGAACCAACCTTGATGTAG